GTTGTGTGTCACAAAAACACTCCGTAATCCACTCAAAACACCACTGAAATTAATTTTTGGAGAGCAAATTACCAGTCGTACCAGTGATCGCCGTAAATGTAAATACTTAGCATTCTACGCTGGTCGCTATGGCGCCCTTTATGCAGCAGCTAAGAAAAAGGTCTGTAGAAAATGCCCTAAAAATGATCTGAAGTGCCCCTGCTCCAACGACCCCAAACCCCCCCAACACCACCCCACCCCCTCGCTCTTCAGTTCGCGACAACCACATAACCCCCCCACAAATTCACACACACTCTTACACTATGGACAATTTAGCCTACCCAATTCACTTGTACCGCATGTCTTTGGACTGTGGGGGAAACCGGAGCACCCGGAGGCATGGGAAGGGAGGCAGGGGATTATTATAATTCGAAGGCAGGGAGAACATGCAACTCCACACAGAAACGCCAACTGAGCGAGGTTCGAACCAGCGACCCAGTGACCTTGCTGTGAGGCGCAGCACTACCTACTGCGCCACTGCCTCGCCATACGAGTGTCATACAAAACTGTTGATTTACAATGTTTATTCATTTATCAATGAAGGTAACTCTTAATATAAATCCTTTACACGTGGTCTTGCAATACGAAATGGAGTCGGTTCGATTGAATATTCTCACGTTCCGGATCAGTGCCTTATGGGATAGTAAAATCTCCATCAAATGCATACTTCAAAGTCTTCTCACAAGTAGTAGGTCGTCTGGGTATTGGCACATAAATAATATGCATACAAATAATACTGCTAACATACTGCAGGCATTTTGGAAACGTTGTGTTTCTCTAAACACACAAAAAAAGATTATTCAGAGGAAGTGAGACTGAGAGACTCGACTGCGCAGCCACACCTTAATTGGCTCATGCAGCCCATGTACAGTATCTGATGGGCTGATAAGGGTTCATTACATTCAGCTGACCATGCCGAATATGTGATGCTTGTTTAAACAGGAACACTGTTTACATTTACAAGGCAGCGATTTTATACCCAGAATTGATGCTGGTTTGTCATCCATGGCAGAAACTGGAAAGAAAACATGTGGCTAATGCTTTTTCAAGTTTGTTCTGCTTCAGAGCTCCCAATATTGTTTGCATATACATTACAGGTCCAAAGTTGAGCATCATTGATTTGTAAAATGTTTTTAAAAGCAGTCTCTTTTGCTTCCCATGACTACATAATTTTTTTCAATAGTTGAAAACAGTTAAAACTGTACAAAAATATTACAATTTAATATAACGCTTTTTTTTGTTGAATGTAGTTTAAAAATATATCTAATCCTGTCATTTAAAGCTGAATTTTCAGTATCATCTTGAATCCAGAATTTTAGTGTTACAAACTTCTTCGTTAAACCATTAGGGGTGTAATGATATTCTAACCAAACTGAAAAAATCTGGATGGATAGATTTATGGATGGATGAAGGGATGGATAGATAGAGCGTGAGTATTCTGCTGTGTAGATTAGGCCTGTCACGATATCGACCTTTTTGTTGTTCGATATTTTGCCCCAAAATATATTGCGATAAACAAAATTATTGTCATTTTTATGCCACTCATTATTTAACACCATATGAAAATATAATAGCATCATAATGTAAGTACACTCTACCGAAGAACACATAATATTTTATATTTAAGAATAATTTATTTAATTATAGTCAATTTAACATTATAATAATCATGCATTGGAATTGCAATGTGAAAACATATATCCTAAACAAGTAAATAATAATAAATATTAACCAAAAAGTGCAAGGTAAAAAGTAACAGAGACTGGGACTATCTACTACCAGATCTATTTTCAGTTGTCAGACACCCATATGAAAATATACTATGGTAATTTATTGTAAATGCTAGTGTTTTTTTAACCATACTGACACTGACACCTCCAACAGAGATAGAGATGTCGCACAATCGGCTAAAATGTGGCTAGAATTGTTTTTTTATGTATGGGTGATGTATATTGCATCACCAAAAACAATTGAGGTAATGCCCATGTGTTGTGGGATTAAGTCAATATATTCGTTGTTGTGACAGACCTATATTTCATTTTAGTTTACTCATATCAGCTGACTGTACTAAACCGAAACATGTGAAGCCAGAATATAAAGATAATTAAGGTTTTAAGTTGAATTATTCCTGTTAAGTCAAAATAAATGTAGTGTTCTGTAATATTCCTGCTGCCAGAGCACAAGCAGAGCGTTTTTTCAGCATACATGTTAACAGATTAGAGTTTTCATACTGCACGCAGAAGCAGCACGTTAGCATGGAGCGTGAGCGGCGCTGAAGCAGCAGTGCCACGATAGTTTCGGCACTGGGTCTATTTTTGCTGCGCTGCTAATGCTTAATTAAAGTGACAGTGCAGTTATAATGACCAAAAAGACATTGAATGACAGTAAAAAGTAGGAGTTTTACACAGTAAACGCATCTGTAGTAAACACAGATTTTTATATAAGCCCCTTTCACACATACAGACCTTTAGTATGTGTGAAGAGGCCCTTTTTGAAAATACCAGCAAATTCGTTCAGGCAATTTTCCGGAAAGAGAAGTTGTAACATTACCGGTAATTTGCTGGAAAGCTGCTCTGTGTGAATGCAGAAGAATGCGCTGATGTGAGATCTACTTTAGCCAATCAGAACACTCAGACACATTCACATCCACACAGTTTTTGAAATTAAAAGCCTTTGAATAATTTCCCAGACACATTTATTGCTAGATGTTAGTCCGAAAACGTTTCTATATTCCTTCTTAATGCCAACGCGGTGTCAAAAAATACAGATAAAATGCTTATGATAAACTGCTGTTTGTTTACCTTCAAGCTGTGCTTCAGATGCTTGACGCGTGTGCACGTGAAGGAGCCGGTAAGCGCCAGGACAAACATATTATGAACATTTGGACATGTGAAAGTGTTCCTCCATATGTTTTCATACACGTTGTTCACAATACTTCTCCATCCACATAATTTGTAATGTAGTTAAATGTGTAAACATTTAGCTGTGGTTCGCGTTTCTTCCTTTGGATGTCTCACAAAGCAGCTGCATGAACGCTAAAGCCTTAAAGGGTCACGAAACAATAAAACACATTTTTTGAGCTGTTGACAGTCATATACTTGTCCCACGCTGCTTAAAATACTGTTAGGACACATAAAGGTGAAAATTAGTTGTTTTTGCGTTCAAGCTAATTCGATTTGGTAAGTAAGCGATCAGTGGTCTTTGTTTATTCAGATGGCAAAGTTAGTTCGTATCATCAGCAGTACTCTTTCAGGAAGACATACTTTAGTCAAAATGATTTCTGAGTTACTAAGTTTACAGTACGTTAATATCACTACAACATTGTGGACTGAAAGATCTGCTGTAAATTCTGTTCTTCGAGTGTAAACATGTAAACACCACAATCAAACTATTACCGTTGTGTAGATTTTTCGCCGCATTTTGTGATAAGATAGTCTATACACGCACAGCTTTCTGACGCTACCTATCGAGTGCATCTAAGTTACAGAGAAATGCAGAGGGTTTTTTTTTCTCTTATACGTGTGGTATCAAACATTCAATATCTGGATTGTTATGGGGGGCAAGCATAAAATGTTCCTGAATGAAAGTGAAAGTGCCAGACTGCAGTTAAAGTCGACAAAGTAATGATTTGGAAAATAGTTCGATTAATTCAACTTTTCAATTCAATTACTGATGTCCATGTAAGCACAGTCACTGTCTTTCTCCCCTGCGTCTGTGTGTTTGTTTTGCCTCTGTGTAAATCAGCGCGTGCCCAAATGGAAGCTCCCATTTTTATCCAAAACCTTCCCTCTTTCCCTCCCCCGACACTCCCAGCTAAACAGAGCTAGACATACCCATTTTTTTTTACTTTTTCCAATCTAGTGGTGTAAAAAAACACCCTTTTGAAACGGGGGTTTCGTGGCCCTTTAAATAAAAGTTAAACTATCAAAAAAAAAAGGCTGACCTCTACTAAGTTTACTAAAACAAGCACTGCCTTTTATAGGTCATTTTGGTCAGAATTTACTGGTATTTTGGAACGCATGTGTGAACGATCTTTTCTGGAAAAATGTGTAATGTCTGTGCCTGTGTGAACACCTTTTTTATGCATTTACTGGTCAAGTCGTTCTGGACGTTTTTCGGATATTTACCGGTTTTGAAATATTTCCACTGTGTGAAAGGGGCTATAGTCAATCAAATGAGCTCAAACTATTAAGAAATGCAACAGATATTTATTTGAGCCCGCACTACGAAACCAAATTTAAAACAATTTTAGTAATAGTCTTGCTTATGTTGTACTCTAGTTTGATCATGCATAAATATCATTAGAACTAAATTGTATAAATATTACTATAACTATATAGCCTACATTTTGCTGACAACCAAAAACAAAATTTAATAAGCATACATTTCTTAAGGATCTATATAATTTGTAAGGTAAAGACTTGCAGGTTAAGCAAACCGTATGGGAGGAAGACTGCGTGCCTTTATATATAGATAGGTAACTAGATAGAATAGACAGAGATAGGATGGTCTGTGCAAAGGCCACTGATCTGCTGCAAACTGTACCAAACCATACCATGGGCCTAATACTGTGAACTGAACCTAACTGAGGCATTGGTACGTTGTTACACCTATAGAAATCATACTAATATGCTAATTAGCTGGTCTGTAACGGTCACTAAATATTTGTATTTGGCACTCAATCACCACTAGTAGTGTATTTAGTGGAGAGATGGGTCATAAATGATTTGTAGGATGTAACGCAGTCGGTCAGAGCTGCATTAGTATTCATTGGCGGCTGTGTGGCGGTGGTTAGTGTTGCTCAATAAGGCTGCAGTGAAACACTAAAACTCAGTGTTTCCCTCATCACACAGGAAGACTCTTCTGCCATGAGCTGGGTTTTAATCTTTTACTCTCGCTAGAAAGGCTGAACCAAGGGTTCAAATATTCATTTTCTTTCTCTTTTCTTTCTTCTTCCACAGGCGGTGAGCATCAATAAAGCCATCAACACACAGGAGGTTGCTGTCAAAGAGAAGCATGCCAGGAATATCCTTCTTGTTTGTGAAAATCTGAAAGAGAAATATGAAGGAATGGATGAGGAAGAGAATTAGGACTTTTTATGAGGAAAATTCAAGTCAAATCAGTTCAAGTCATGATCATAGATTTGTTTTCTTTTGGCCTTTTTTAAATGCATTAAGAAAAGTAAATAAAGATCAATATAACAGACACAAGAGTTAATTTCACTGGTAACACTTTACAATACGGTTCATTAGTTAATGTATTTACTAACATGAACTAATCATGAACAACACATGTACAGATTTTATTAATCATAATTGAACAATAACTAATGCATTATTAACATCTAAGTCCGTGCTTGTCAACATTAGTTAATGCACCATGAGTTAACATGAACTACTGTATTTTCGTTAACTAACGTTAACGAACATGAACAAATACAGTAGTAAATGTATTGTTCATTGTTTGTTCCCATTAGTAAATGGATTAATTAACATTTACTAATGAACCTTATTGTAAAATGTGACCATTTCCCTTTTCTTGGACATTTTTTACACCTTAAGTTAAGACACTCAGACGGGCCAATTGATTAATTTTATTTTGTCTTATTTTATTTTTTATTAAATTATAATAATTTTTTTATTTGATTAGATTTATTATTTTTTTTACTTTGTTTCAGTATACTGAACTGTCAGATTTTTGCCAATATTTAACACTAAAATTAAATGTAATTGTATGTTTTTATTGTTTTGTGTTTTTATTTTATTTAATTTTAATTTTTAATATTCATATTTTTATATAATTTTAATTCATTTTTATTTTTTTAAAATATTTTTTATGTTTTTTATTTACTTAATGCTAAGATACTTTGTTTCAGTATACTAAACTATACTAAGTTTTTCTGCTAATATTTAACACTGAAATTGTGTGTAATTGTAAGTTTTTATTGTTGTGTTTTTGTTGTTTTGTTTTAATTTTTTTTCTATAATTTATTTTTTAATTTAATTAAATATATATATTTTTAATTTTATATTTTTTTCATATACTTAATGCTAAGATTCTTTGTTACAGTTTTTCTGCCGATATTTAATTTTATTAACATGAAAAGCATTATAGTTAAGTTAGTTAAATTATAGAAAAGTGTTATAGTTTTCCAATATTTTAAATTTTTAATTCTATTTAATTTTTTATTTTATATTTGTTTTTTTTTTGTCCATTGAATTGGGTATATGCGCAGCTAGTGTTTTTCAGCAAATGATACACTTCCTGTGAAAAATTAATGTGACTCTTTTCAATTTCATAAGGTTGCTTTTACAGCATCGATGTTGTAATGAAATTATAATACATTCAGTAAAACAGACTTAAGCATTCATAGTTGTTCAAGCGTAAAACGAGATGAAAGACAGTAAGCGCTTGAGCCGTCAGGATCAGCAGGCGAGTGCAGAAACTCAGGGGTAAAATAAACTGTCATATTTCAAAGACATGGTGGGGGAAAATGAAATTTAGCACAGTGATTCTTGTCCTGTCTGAGACCCACTTCATATCGTATATCTATCAGGTAGTGAAAATCACAGATTTTTAAAGAAATTTTATGATGCAAAGACTGAGGTTGGCTGGCTGAAATTATACCCCATATTGCCAATATACCCCAAATTTTCAGATGATTCAGATACTTTGAACTTTATACCAAACTGACCCATTTGTCATTTTGGGGGGTTACCATCATCATATAATATCCATGCTTGCATAACGTTTACTGTATACTGGCTATCACATTAGTTTATCAGATGGTTCATGAATTATATTGTGTAACTCTGGCTGCTCTTTTATTCTTTGAACTGTTTTCGTTAGTTCATTTCCCCAAGTCCTGGTTCAGGTTACTGTAGTATCTTGATTAAGCTTCTTCAGCATGTTGTCCTTGACGGTTGTCTTTACCATGTATATTGGGCACTCATCATGAGAAAGGGGCTCACACATTCTGGCTGGCCGTCAACCGTCTGCCCCTGTCCAGCAATGCCGTGCTCTGCTGGAAGTTTTGCCACGTCTTCCATAAGCTGCTGCGAGACGGCCATCCCAACGTGAGTATATACAGCCATATCATCTCTGACAGTACACTCCATATCTCTTAGTACCCTGATATCTCCCTGATTTATTTTCCTCAAATGATTATAGTGAACGCAGCGTGCATCAGTGTTTTGCATTTAGTCTATATTGAGCAGTTTTAAACAGACTAGTACCAAAAATCTGATTGGCTGAATACATAATGCACTTTTCCACTGTACAGTACTGCACTTTTAGTTCAGTATGGCTCCTAATAAGCACACATCTATTTCATTTTAAACATTTATTCCAAAGTTCTTGAATCTTTGGCCAGTCCCAAAAAATGTGGGTATGATCTCCAATTTTACCATATTTTCTCCTACACAAAGCAACAGTTGTTCCTTTTACATATGTAGAAATTACAAAAGGAGTATTAAAATGCCTCATTTTTACTTTCCAATCCAATTGTTTCCATAATTGACTTAATTCCTTTATGATATCCTTTTTATTACTGTTTTTAAAATGTTAAAATTTTATTTATTTAAAAATCAATAGTGTAACAGAAGCCAGCTAGTGAAGTGCAGGTAAACCTCACTCCACTGACCTCTAAAACGTGCTCTAGTGACAGACGCTAGAGACCATGGTTTTTAGCTCTCTTGTTAAAGCAACCAACTCCCATTTAAAGAATCGCCAGTTCGATCACAGCTCAGACCGGTTTGGGTGCAGTAGGACTGGTGGGTTACAATAAAAAAAATTTGATGCCTCATACTACAGTGTTATGGTGATCTTTTATTATTTTATTATTTAAATTATTATTATATATTAGTATTAAAAATATTATTATATATTATTTAAATTTATTTATTTATTAAATTTATTCACTTTTATATATTTGGAAGTGATCTAATCTAAAGGCAATGCAAGGTATTTTAGAATTGAATTTAATAATGCACTCTCTCTCTCTCTCTCTCTCTCTCTCTCTCTCTCTCACTGTGATTGTTTTCGTTGAGCTCCCTTATTTGAGTTATTAATGCAACTATTTGCCAAATTAGGTTTTATGTTTACAAAAAACACCTTTATTATGGGAGTAAAGTACAAAAAAAAAAAAAAAAACGGAAATGGAAAGCACAATGTACACTTAGCAATTTCTTGTAGGACAAGCAAAATTGGCCATTTTAAAATCTCATCACTGTCAAAATGATGGAGAAAACGAGGATTTACCGGGAATGTTTAAATCTTTAGTGAAGTACCGGGTTACTTTAGAATATGTATTTTGTAAACTAACAAACAACTTGTTTTTCTTTGATATGAAGTGGTGTGAATAAAATGCTCTTGTGGCGAGAGAGTCTGGAGAATTATGTTTTAAGTGGTAATGGCTATGAAGTGGCAATTTTAGGAATTGTTATATGTTTGAGTAAAACGTGTTTTAAGAGTCAAAAAAGTCTCCCTCTCTGTCACTTCAGGTCATTAAGGACTCTATGCGGCACAAGGCGGACCTAAATGACATGAGCAGGATGTGGGTAAGTAGTGGTTGGTGGTTTTAACGATTTACCACTTAAACGAGGACTAGATCAATATATCTGGTTATTGAATATGGCCTTGTCGAGTTTCCCTGAGTTTCCATTGATCATGGAAGCTGTCAGTGTGTCAGTCAGTGAGGCATTTAGCTCCTACTGATTGACGGCTGAATAGCTTGGCGTTGCGAGTATGAGTCAGACTCGCTAGAGATGATCTGTAATTAGCCAACGATGACGTGAGTGTGTGTGTGTGTGTTTGTCACTCTCGAGGCTTTGCTTGTTATGAGTATATCAGTCAAACAGCCCTCATATTCTGAGGAGTGCTATTCATGTTTATGCATACAGTATTACATTTTTATAGATTATTCTTTTGCCATTGCATAGAAGGGACTGAATATGTGCAATTGTGTATCTTACTGATATACAGATAATCCTAATTCATAGTGGTTTATGCTGATTTATGTTTGTTTTTATTTATATTATGACATATGTAGGATTTCACCTGAAAAAAAAGAAAAGAAAATGAGAAACATCACAATGACAGAAAATATGATCATGAATTAGATAAAACGTTGTTTTTCTACCTGATTAAAAAAAGAAATCTGATTGAAAAGCAGATTTATACTGATAAATAGATAGACATTGATTGATTGATTTCTATATATAAGTATTTTATAGTGTACTTTTATTATAATAATTCACAGTAAAGTTGAAAAGAAAAATATATATAATTACAGTAAATATGATAATGAATGCACAAATTGTCTCTAATTTTTATAGTCATTGATTTGTTTATTTGTTCATTTATTTATATTTATAAATTATATATCATAAGCATTTCATACTGCACTGGTAATTTAATGTCTCACTGTAAAATAGAAAAGACAAACATAAGAAACTTTTTATAATTACAGCGAATATGATAATGAATCTGATAAATCTTTGTTTTCCTTTCAGATTGAAAAAAAATCTGATTAAAATGCAGGCTAGTCAATGATTTATCCTAATGTATATTTGTTTATTTATTTATGTTATAAATGATATATCATAAGCATTTAATAATGCACTACTAGTGATTTAATATCTATACATTTATAAATGAATTTTTAAAATAAATAAATACAAATTAATAAAAAAAAAAAACGTAACTTATGTGTTAATAATATGAATTAAATAATCCTAAAAGATAATTATTTACAAATGTGTTATCATGCTGATGGGTAAAAAAATAAGGTTAAAAGCATATTTTCAAAGTAATACAATATTTATTACTATGACGACACTGTGGCTCAGTGGTTAGCACTGTCGCCTCACAGCAAGAAGGTCACTGGTTCGAGTCCCTGGGCGGGTCTGTGGGCATTTGTATGTGGAGTTAGCATGTTTTCCCCATGTTTATGTGGGTTTCCACCGGGTGCTCCGGTTTCCCCCACAGTCCAAAGACATGCACTAAAAGTGAATTGAATAAACTAAATTGGCTGTAGTGTATGAATGTGTGTGTGTGTGTGTGTGTGTGTGTGTGTGTGTGTGTGAGAGAGAGAGATAGAGAGAGAGTGAATGTGTGTTTCCCAGTACTGGGTTGCAGCTGGAAGGGCATCCGCTGTGTAAAACATGTTGGATAAGTTGGTGGTTCATTCCACTGTGGTGTGACAGCTGATGAATAAAGAGACTAAGCCAAAAAAAAAAAAAATGAATGAATGACTTTTTACTATATTAACATGGTTTCATATCGACTCATCATTGTCAACAATGTAAAAGCAATTCTAATGTCAATTTATGATCAGTTGTGCATCACTAGCCAACAGGAAGAGTCTGAAGGAACTCGCTGAGTTTCATCTTTTGCTTACTGGAAACCTCTTCAGCTTATTTGCTGATAACACACTGCAGGACTCATAAGAAACATTTCCTGTGAACACTTTTCTGAGAACAGGAAGTGAAAGAATGAGCTCATTAAGTTGACTCGCAGCTGGTTGTATTGTGTGTGTGTGTGTGTGTTTTTAAACCAAACAAGTTAACAAACACCAAAGCTGACCTTAATCTGGCCCGACTGACTCACACTCTGAATGCTGAAGTGAGCTGATGAGCGGAGACTCATTAGCTGCTCCTGCGACATCATTTCCTTTTGAAGTAATCAGTGTTTTTTGTATAACCTATTTTAGGGTCATCTGAGTGAAGGCTATGGGAAGCTGTGCAGCATCTACCTCAAACTGCTCATCACCAAAATGGAGTTTCACATCAAAGTGAGTGACGGAGGCCTTGAAGGAGATTCAGCAGAACATCAGTCTTATTACTGTTCTCCTCTGATCTGAGCTCTTAAAGGCATAGTTCACCCAAAAAATAAAAATGACCTCATTTATTCTCCTCCCCGTGGTTCTGAACTTTAGTGAGTTTCTTTCTTCTGTTGAACCCAAAAGGAGATCTTTTGAAGATTGCTTTCTGCCACTTGTTGTATATTTTGACATAATATTGGCATTTGTAATGTGTATATTAATTATGTATATATAAACACACACATAGATGCTTATATTTAAGAAAATATTTATATTTAGACACAACATAATATAGGTATTGTATAGGATACAAATTAGACCAACATTTAAATATCTATGCAAAAAATTTTTTTTTGTTTCTATCACATATACTCAATAAATAAATGTATACAATACACACAAATAAATATACATATGTATTATGATGTCAAAACAAACTTTTATTTTGGATGTGATTAATCACGATTAATCTTAGCCAAGCACTACTACTTTAGTGTTTAATAGAAGGAAATCCAAATGGATTTTGAAAAAATGAGGGGTGAGTGACAGCAGATTTTACATTTTTGGGTGTACTAAGCCTTTAAGGGTGCACAGTGTTTTAAAGCACGACAGCAACGTTTTTGCAACCAAAAACAGCATAATTCTGCAAACATGTTAAAACTTAGAGGTTATTTAAAACACTGCTTTTGTTGAGTTTATGTAAACACTTGAAAACAGAAGTCTTTGAAAAAGATGTCATGCATGTGCATAGTCCGTGTTTAAAGACGAGCTCAAACAAACACACAACAACAGTGGAATACATGGTAGTGCCACTATTTTCTGTCCCTATATGTCAACTCTCAAAAAATAACTTTTGCTGCTTGTTCAAACCAGTTATTTAAAATGAGTTAAACAACACGGTTGTAATTTTTTTGTGGGGGCAACTTAATTATTATATGTTCAAACCACTTAAATTTGTAAAAACGATTAAGCTAACTTATTAGATTTGTGCTGGGACAACATGAAGGAATTGTGTGAAACCCAGCATTTTTTTTTACAGTGAAGTGTGGATTTACTTTACATTACAACCAACAGTAGAAACACAATTTTAATAAAGGGTGATTCATATTTCATAAATGATTTAATAATATTTAATAAATTATTACCGACACTGACATGTACCTTTCAAAAAATGTAATTTTGAAATTTTTGTAAGGTCTTAATTTTCCTTTGTTCATGTATTGTTATTGAATCTGGCCCAAACCCATACAATCACCAACAATCCATCTCTATAAAACTTTCAACTTTTTATTAAAAAGGTCATTTTTAACTCTATTTATCATAATGGTTTAATTATTTTCCTTACAGTAACATTTGATTAAAAGATCTCAATGAGAACACTGATGAGGACACTGACCTGGACAGATTGTTGTGCATAGATTTAGTTTATTATAGTTTTTAAAGCTTTAAACATTTGTTCATTTTTTTATTTTAAAGAAAGTTTATGTTGGAAAAAAGTGAATGGATAAAAGTAGAGCTTGCTTGTTTTTACACAATATTTAAAATATTTAGCTAAGATATAGAATCTAAAATATTTGAATTGTTTATTATTAAAGTATTATTGTATTATTAAATGTATTAAATAATAATATTTTTTTGATAGGTCAAATAAAAATCTTTTTCATCTAGGCCATTTTAAAAATTCATTAGCCTTTTTTCCTTTGAGTCTAAAATTTAATTCAGAAGGGTCTTAAAAAGTCTTAAATTAAACCTGTGGAAACACTGTTACAGGTGTCGAATGCCATTAAGAAGCTCCAGATGTAAATTTTTGCTTTGTGTTTACCTTATAATTAAAGTTGTTGCATGTCTGCCTGGTTATCACCTCTGAATGAGTGAATTTTGGCTACTTGTACATAAAGGTAGCGTTCAGAAAAAACAAAACACCTGTGAGGAAACTCGACACAGAGGAACATAAACACCTACTGCCAGCTAGCGTTTCAGAGGTGTTATTGCAGAGCAACACAAAAATCGCGCAGAAGTATAATTGCACAGCTACGCACAAGGCAGACACTGTAGGTCACGGCAATCACTCGACGCAGAAGTATAAATCAGTTTTGCACACACAGCAAATGATACAAAGACATTGCATGTCATCACTTCGCCACAGGTACTGCTTTACTAAGAATGTGACCGCATCGTATACTGGCCCTGCATTTGTAATACAACATTTTGGCAGTTTTTTTTTTACATAAGTGTAATTGCATATCATTTTGAAAACATTTGACATTATTGGTTGCAATTTTTGTTTAAACTTCTGGTTTTGAATCTGTAAATCTGTATTTGAATAATAAATAAATTAGTATCAATAAAAGAATAGCCTACATTTATTTTTATTATGGATTAATTATTGCATGTATTTAGGGCTGGGCGATTTTTTTTCGATTAATTTGAATTTACGTTTTTAGACTATTTAATTTTGAATCAAATCAAGAAATCGCGATTTTTAAAAAAATATCTATATTTAATTCATTATAATGGCATCAATGCGGTTTGGTTCACTCTCTATATGAAGCAAGAAGCACACCAGAAGTGCCTCTTGGCGATGCGCAGCACCATGCAGCGGTATGGATTTTAGAATTCTAAACAGGTTTCTATACACACACCGGCACCGCCCAGCCACAATTCACGAAGCAGTTTATATTTCAGCCGGCCCACAGAGCGCCATCTGATTAGTTTCATGTTAAATATCATGCGAATGTGTGCGTTTGGTGTGTGATAGTTTAAACTGTCATGTCCGCGCTGTGTTGCGGCGGTTCTGGTGTGCGACCTGCTTGACTGCCTGTTAAGCGTTAAGTCATATAGGATTTTACTTGTTGCACGTCTGTGTGGATTGTCAAGACATTCCCTCATCAAGTCGATAAACTCGATTTCAACATGTATGAAGGACGTAAAAGCCTGCCATTTGAAAAACCGTGCCGATCTTTTGGTTTGAACACGAGGTGAGGGACTGTAGCAGTGAAAATGAAAGTACCTGCCCCCATGACGTCATTTAGCGGACCTAGTTGAAAACCAGACAGATCAGCCAGCATAATACAGAGAGTGGAGCAAAGCACATAAAATGATCGATATTTAAAAGGGGAAAAGAAAAATAGATTTAATATATTATTTTATATCAGACACACATCTGGTACTTGTATTTGCTCCTGCTATACGTTCACAACTTCACACATTGGGTTAAATTAGGCTTTACAGTTTCCATGTTCAGTCCTTTTCTTACACTGTATCTTTTTAAGAAAAAGGCAGCAGCATTACAACCTGTCATTTAATCAGAAGACAAAGTTAAAGCCGAGCTGACAGCCAATCTTTCATAGGCTCAGCAAAACTTACCAATTAAAAATGGCATTAAAAATACAATGTTCCTTAACAAGATGGTTTTTCAAGTTACTTTTAAAGACAACGTTACTTCAGTCATGCTGTTGTAATGTTTTGATAAGACTAGTAACACAATAAAAACTTTATAAAAAAACCTAGATATTTTTTTTTGCTAAATCGCCCAGCCCTACATGTAGTCGATTGTGTCATTTGTTTCATCTATCGTTCTATTTCTAGCTATTAAATTAATCAAATAAGAAAAATGTTTGTTAATAATGAATTGAATATTTAAATTTGAAAATGTTTTTTATTATTAAATAGCAAACATATACAAATTATTAGCTCTCATATGAAATTTACTTTACTTTCTTTATCTTCCATATGTTGAAATTTGTCTTTGGCTTCACCACACGACCACATCAGTGTTCACATCAATTTTTATCTTTCTCAAATATTTCCAAATTTATGTGTAATGGAGAGAATATCTTTTTTACACATTTTTAAACATAATTTGTTTAATAACTAATTTCTAATTACTTTTGTCTTTGTCATAGTGACAGTACATGATCCTTTACTAGATATTTGCAAGATACTGTACCAGTATTGAGCTTGAAGTGCCGTTTAAGGGCTTAACTGGGCTAGTTAGATTAACTGGGCACATTAGGTTAATTAGGCAAGTCACGGAACAACAGTGATTTGTTCTGTAGCCAATTGAAAAGGATTCTAACAGTGTTGACTTTTAAAAGTGTGTTTATTCCAGCCAATTTGAAAGAAATAAGAATTTCTCCAGGAGAAAAAAAATATCAGGAGTAACATTAATAATTTCCTTTCTTGCTGTTAAACATCACTTGGGAAATATTTGAAAAAGATAAAGAATTTCACAAAGGTGCTAATAATTTTAATAATATCTGCATATACAATATTCAATATAATCATTTATTCATATAAATTAGATCATAATTCTTTTTGAACATATATTTGTGTATATGAAATTTTAAAAAATATATTCATGCATTCTATTCACAAAATAATGAATTATTAATGTATGATTGCATATACTTTATATGTTATTGGTAACACATTTTAAAATAATAACTACATATCATATTGTTATTTGTTAAAATTCAGTATTTAAAGACCAGACATGTTTTTTGAAAATTTTTGCCTCCGCTTTCTGTCAATATAAAACATGTCAATAAAGCAGAGAAAATTGCACTCGTCAAGCATTTTAAAAAGGCTAATGCTGTCAGAAGCTCACAAATATTACATTTACTCCACTTGCTTTTCCCAGAATCCTCGTTTCCCTGGCAACCTTCAGATGTCAAACAGACAGCTTGATGAAGCGGGTGAGAACGACGTCAATAATTTGTGAGTATTGTTTTGTTTTTCAACAGGCATTGTGTTTCTCTGCCTGTGTGCTAAAAGCTTCTCAAGTGCTCTGGAGTGTGTTTGTGAGATGAACCTTAAGCACATTTTCACTCCTTTTAACACATTTAGCTTCCAGTTGACGGTGGAGATGTTTGATTATCTGGAGTGTGAGCTGAACCTTTTCTTAGGAGGTAAGTTTAATATCCGGCTATTTTAGCATCAGTAAATTCCCTTGAAGTTGCATAATTTGGTGGCCATATTTGGTTATGTACAGCTCAAGTCAGAATTATTAGCCCTCCTGAATTATTAGTCTCCTGTATACTTATTTTCCCTATTTTCTGTTAAATAAAAATATTAAAAAATTTTAATAATTGATTTATTTTATCTTTGCCATGATGTCAGTACACAATATTTTACCTGATATTTTTAAAGATGTTAGTATTCAGCCTAAAGAGCAGTTTAAAGGCTTAACTATGTTAGTTAGGCAAGTTGGGGTAATTAGACAAGTCATTGTTTATCAATGGTTTGTTCTGTAGACAACCAAAAAAAACCAACCCCTAAGGGGGTGTTACGACCTTTGATGGAAATATATTTAGGAAATTCAAAGGAGTAACATTGAGATGACCATAAGAATAAATTAATGGTAAAGGTGGCAAGAGAAACACAGAGTCATCACTTCCACAAACCACATATTTACAATACGTACAAACAATATTAATAAAACAATACATTTGAAAAATCAAGACAAACAGCAGAGGGAACTGAAACTTGCACTAGAAGATCAAAGAAAGAAATATAACAAAAACATCCCCTTAATCTCCTCCCAATCCTCTAAATAAGAAAATAACAATGTGAAAAGATAGTCTTCAGTACAACTAAAAAATACAAATTAGTGCACTTCGCAAACTAGCGTGTCTAACCAACAATAATTCTGTGTGCAAGGTTTGTATGCCACATGATTTACTATGCTGTTCCAGATCTCCCTTGTCTGCAAGTTGTAAGCTCAACAACAATGATTAATATGTTGCACCCTGTCTGAGTATGTTCAAACTACATCACAAAATAAAACAAAGCTGCACATTTCAGAGGACCTTCCAGAAAGTAGTACACAGAGAATTAGTGTCAATCTACTTGAATAGAAGAAGACTAGAATCTCTGTCAAGATTACATATTAAAATGTCATATCAGCCATTAAATGTGTTGTCTTTTTATATTTTAAATTGATTTAATGTCTGTCTTAAAGTGAAAAAATGAGGTCAAATCTCTGTCGAGATGGATATGTCCGCTGAAATGCTGTAAAAATGTTGTTAGAACACTGCTAGATTTGGCTGTGCTTGTGCTGGAAGCATTAGGAAGAAGTTAATGCGAGTATTGTTGGCTGGAGCACAGCTCGCTGGCACAGGAAACCACACCTCTGTGTGCTGAGAAGACTGAGTCTCACAGGAGCCTGCATCACTGATCACCACAGAGACATGGACATGAATGTCAATGAGGAAACGGGACATGGAGATGGAGGAAAACAGCATTTTGAAGGGAACGGAGCAAAAGGGAAATTTGTGAAATCAACGAGTACAACTTCATGATCAAGAATTGAAGCTGTTTTTTAGGGTAGTATGGTATATGCCTTATGAAATTGCGATGGAGTGTTGCAAAGCAGATGAATGAAAAAGGGTGAGATTAGTTTCAGAGCTTTGATGCAGCATTATGGTGTGCTAACACACTGCATTGGTTAAGATGGCCATTTCTGTAAAGCAAAAAAGGAGGATATTTTGCAGAATAAAAAATGTGAGTGTGTATTAGGTCTGCACCATATTGGAAAATTCTGATATTGGGATATTTAGTTTTTCTGCAATATATATTGCAATATTGGCGCCATGGTGGCTCAGTGGTTAGTACTGTTGCCTCACAGCAAGAACATTACTGGTTTGAGTCAGGTCAGTTGGTATTTTTGTGTGGAGTTTGCATATTCTGCTGGTGTTGGCATGGGTTTCCTCCGGGTGCTCCGGTTTCCCCCACAGTCCAAACACATGCGCTATATGTGATTTGACTAAAATCAATTGGCCTTAATGTATGTGTGTGAATCTTGAGATTGTGCGGGTGTTTCCCAGTTATGGGCTGCAGCTGGAAGGGCATCCACTATGTAAAGCATATGCTGGATAAAGTATCGGTTTCATTTCGCTGTGGTGACCCCTGGTGAATAAAGGGACTAAGCCAAAAAGAAAGTGAATGAATAATGCGATATTAATACCATGGTTTCCGCTACATTCATTCTTCCATGGCGGAGCGCCACGCAAAATTCATCCCGCCACGGCTACATTACAGCTTCTCTTTCAAAACATTTAGTTTTTTAATAGCAGGTAATAATTGCACCAAAACATATTAAAGGGTAAGTGAATTATAATAGCGCAAACCTTTTTGTAACCGTAGTAGTGCTGTGCGTCATATGTTTAACCTTTAAGGTGACGTAATGACTGGCTGACTGACAGGTGCGTGATGCGGGAGGCCAGCAAACACGACGTATACCCGTTTCACTTTACTTCAGGACGCATTAATGCTACTCCGTAGGTCTATTGGAGACATTCATTATTTTTCGTAGCAAATTTGATAAATGCTGAAGACATACACGTTACATATACGCACTAAATTGCACCCAGCAGGGTTTATTTAAGAGCGCACAAGAAGATCTGTGCACTCTTGAAACGGCTTATATTTGAAGGGGCGTGGAAGAAGTTTTGTGCACGAGCAGAGAAAATCGGCACGCAAGCAAAGAGATTCGCATGCTCGTAAGCTATTACATAAATGCGATCCCGACTTGTAATACTGTGCTCAGGACATTTATCATTGAAATTATAACACCATAGGTAATTTGTAGATCGGTATAAAAAAAGAGGCCTGCCGCCACAGCTGGAAAAAATCCTAGAGGAAACACTGAATATAATTTCACCAAATGGCTTGAATAGCTCTGCTTTATGTTTTTCCAACAGTATTCAGGGACCGAAATTCAATAATCAAATAAAAAAAAAAACACTATACGGTCTTCATTGTATAAATAATTAAAAGCAGTTTATTTGTACTTTGTATTGCCCGGATAATTTTAAATGCATACATAGTAAGAGGGCTTATAAACACATGCAAATGATGAACTTTCACTTTTTATAAATCTATAAATATCTACAAATCTATTGAAAAATACTTGTAGTTTTTGTCTGGTTTGTAGTTCAAATGTGTAAAACTTCTTAAATCAAGGTGTGTTTATTATCAGGACAAGTAAAATATATTGCTTCATTTTCAGAAATGTGTCAAAATTAAGTTTTTGTTTCTTAAAACAAGCTAAAAATAGTAAGATAAACAAAATAAACCTGTTTTTGGTTTTCCAACTATTGACAAATTCTTAATTCAAATCTTTTTTGTAATTAGCAGAAAAGCCATAACTTGAAAATGTTTTCAGGCTGATCCTCCAACAAGGGCTCAATGGATAGGAATTGTAAAGGGTATGCACTGTATGGAGAGACTGACTTTAACTAAGATTTGATAAATGTGTAAGTAGAGTACTCGCAAAAATGGTCTGAGTATGTCATTGTAAACAATTTGTAATAATGTCAAATGTATTATGACTTGATTTTGTAACTCATATGACAACCACTTAGTTCTTTGTTTTAATTTTTTTTCTCTTCTAAAAATTTTTTTTTAAGTAAAATAGTGATAGTAATAATAAATAAATAAACTTATTTTAAGCTTAAAATAAGAAAATTTTACCTATCTCACTGGCAGATAATTTAGCTTGTTTTAAGGACAACATCCCTTAATTTTGATTTATTTTATCTGAAATCAAGACAATATTTTTTACTTGTCTAGAAAATGCTTCTTGATTTAAGAATTTTTAGATATTTGGACTGGAAACCAGACAAAATTTCTAAATAAGAAAATATTTTTTTGTAGTGTGACCTAAGACTTTAATCCAGACTGCAGATCCTGCAATATTTTTATTGTGAATGTACACATTTGCGATATCCATGCTGAAATAATATATATTGTGCTGCCCCAGAGAGTATGTGAATATATGTCAGTGTGTGTGTATAATATGTATAAATGTGTACATATGCAGGTGTGAGTATATATGTGTCTGTATATATTACATATATATTTTAAAATATTGTTTATTCCTGGGATCCAAAGGTGAATTTCCAGCATCATTACACTAGTTTTGTCATATGATACTTCAGAAATCGATCTAATATGTTGATTTAAGGATTAAGAAACTTTTCGGAGTACTTTTGTTAATCAAGCACACATTTAGTTGATCTAAAGTGACAGTATCTAACTTACATTGTTAATATACATTCTAACAATTAATTATAATAATATATTGACCATTTGAGGGATGCAAACAAAAACAATGGTCCCAGTGCTTTTTCTGTTTTATATTTTTACTTTCTATAGCTTCCGAGAAGCCAGAAAGAGCCACATATTGATAATGTTACAATATCCGTTTTAACATTAGGTTATGATTGAATTGCCTCTTATCACAGTTATTAAATTATTTGATAACAAGCAGGTAATAATCATGGGCAAATGACATCACCACATTGAAATGGTCTATAGTAACATTTTAGAATTTTTATGTTAGAGTTAAAAATATTTATTCTATGTAGTATTTATAAAATCATGGCATTTAAAAAAAAAAAAAATAAATAAATATATATATATATATATATATATATATATATATATATATATATATATATATATATATTTATTTTTTGTTTTCTCGTTTTTCCCAGTGTTCAGCTCATTGGATATGTCTCGTTCAGTGTCTGTGACTGCAGCAGGTCAGTGTCGTCTGGCTCCTCTTATTCAGGTCATACTGGACTCGAGTCATCTATACGACTACACCGTCAAACTGCTCTTCAAACTCCACTCCTGTGAGTCTACAAATCAAACCTGTACCAAACTGACCTGCTACTTATGCACTTAGCTGAGGAGAAACAGTATATATTTATATTATTCATGAAACAATTAGTATTTATCAGTATTGATAGCTGTTTTGATATTTGTTTACTACAAAAAACGAATGGATTTTATTGATTTGTATTGATAAATTTGTATTTTATTGTGTATTTTTGCATTAATTATTTTAATTGCTGTAGTTTTCTCACTAATTTAATCTATTTTAACTCTTGTTTTCTCTAATTTTGTGTATATATTTTGAATATTAAAGCAAATTAAATATATGAATTGTAAAAATAATGAAAAATATATACTGAAGAAAGAACGCTAGCTTGAATTCAGGCATCCTCACTGGTCTTATTCTTGTGTCCTCCAGGTCTGCCAGCAGATACTCTGCAGGGCCATCGGGATCGCTTCCAGGAGCAGTTTAAGAAGTGAGTCTGTCAGTCACCATTCAGACACAACAGCTGCCATGACCCACACTGAAGCTACTGTTTTATTCTTTTGTCATTTCTCACCATCTTTCACTCCAACTCTTTCTCTCTCCAGACTGAAGAGTCTGTTCTATCGCTCCAGTAACCTGCAGTATTTCAAGAGACTGATTCAGATCCCACAACTTCCTGAGGTGAGACTCCTGCATACCAAACAGATTCCTGCCTGACCGGAGTCCAAAAATACAGCTAGTGGAAAGAAAAAAAATTATGTAACTCATTTACATATCTGCCTGCTTGGTTTTGTAGCATTAGGAAAATACTGCAGGCTTTACTGTCAAACTAAAATAGAGGGTTATCTGTTAATTTAAAGGGATGGTCCACTACAATATCATATTTGAAACTTTAGTTGATGTGTAATGTAGCTGTGTCAACATAAACAAAAATGATGTTATCCAGCATGTGGGCTTACTATTTTTAGAGTTTTCAGTGTAAACGCACTACTTACACTATTTATACTACAAAATGGCGTAGAATAGTGCATAAGTATGTGATTTGGGATACACCTATTGAGTTAAAGGTCCTGTGAAGTCCTTTGAAATGGGCAGTTTTATTTGATGTTTGCCGTAATCTCAACTTAAACACTAAGAGAGGGTGGGACATAGTGTAGCTCCTTCCCTTTAAAAAATTTATAATTTTTAAGTTTTATAATCAAATGTAAAGGGCCATGAAGGGGGCGGGGCATGTAAGAAACTTGAAAGCATTTGATTGGTCATGATTTAATGAGAAACTGAAGTATGAGGTGATGTAAAAAATGTTAATTTAGCAAAAATGACAAAGTACATGCTAATATCGGTTTTATATCTTCTAAATGGGAATTTTGTCATTGTTTTGGTACTCATTAGCTTTTATATACCCAAAAACAAACAAAAAACAATATTATTTTAATTTCATGGAGCCTTTAAATTTAAAATGTTTATGTATTAAATAAAAAAAATAATAATTACACAATTTTTTTGGTTTTCGGTTTTTGGCCAAAGCGGAACAAGAAAAATATTTGTACGTTTGCATGACTTTTCTTAAAATCTCTTGGTTTCTCTTCAGAATCCGCCAAACTTCCTGCGGGCATCAGCCCTCTCTGAGCACATCAGTCCGGTGGTGGTGATTCCAGCGGAGGCTTCATCCCCTGAGAGTGAACACGTAGTAGAGACAGAGGACCTGGTGGACACAGACATCCCACCTTTAACAGTACTACACACACTCTCTCGCTATCCACAACTCTGCTGGGTTCTTTCATTAAGCTTGAGTATCTAAAATCAGGCATTGATCACCATTAGGGCACCGGGGACAGCAAGTTTGATGACCTCTTCGGCACCTCAGCCGCCACAGACCCGTTCAACTTCAACAGCCAGAATGGAATGCGCAAAGATGACAAGTAAGACTCTGGGATATAATTAATGCATTATAAGAAGGTCTTTGAGTTTAAGAATGCAAATGATGATGACGACGTGAATCTTAATATGTATTTATCTGTCATTTCAGAGATCGTTTGATTGAGCAGCTCACAGCAGAGCTACAGGCCCTGAAAGAGGAGCTGGAGTCCTTTAGATTGGAGGTAAATTAAAAGATGGTGGAGGAGAACAGGTCAAATGTTATAATCGAATATGTGATATTTGCCATCTATGCTAATTTCTTTTTTTATGTGAAATCTATCAAAATTGATATTTTCAGTGTTCAAAGACATTTCAGCTCAAAGTTATTATGAGTAAGAATTACCCTGTAATTCAAGTTAAAAAAGCAAAGCAAAAATCATATTAGTCAAACCTGATATAGTTAAAGTAAAATCACACACATTAAGTGGAATTTTCTTAAATATTTGAATATATAAAGTCTGATTGAAAATCTAAAACTGATTATTTAAAGCAATTTAACAAGAAAAGTTAATGTTGAGTGTGCTTCGTTTTATATTTACCAGTGATTTTGTTTTTCTATTTTCACCATCCCAAATAGTTCCAAACAAAGCCAGAGCAGAATATTTTGTGCGGAACACTGCTGTGTGTTGTTTCTAAATAAATCTGTTTTTAACGAAATGATCTGATTCAATGATTCATTCATAACTGACTGTGACTTTTTTCGTTTCTTAAGGAATTAGCCATTTTGAATGAATCAGTTGAATTAATAATTCACTAAATCAATCATCCAGACGGCAACTTGCCTCTGTTTACTAATAAGTTTATTAGTCAATGTCCAACATAAAGACACACTCAGCAAAACATTGTGTGCTTTGTCAATATCGCAGTCCTAAATTTATTAAACTACCAAAAGTCCATTACATTAATCAAAATGAATAAAAAAACGTTTTGGCCACAAAATTGATTATCAATGATAAATCTATTATTTTGGAAAGATTATGTGACACTAAAAGCAAAAATATTTAACTGTATGTAGTGTACAGTGGATGAGAAGTGAAAATAAAAGCAATCACTAATCATTCTTTCTCAGAGTGGTCGTCTTTGTCAAGCACTACGGGGGCGGGTCAATGAGCTGGAGGCGGAACTTGCAGAACAGACGCACCTAAAGCAGCAGGCATTGGGTGAGAGTGAGTTCCTGAGGGCGGAGCTCGACGACCTGCGGAGGGTCAAAGAGGACACCGAAAAAGAGCAGCGCAGTCTGAGCGAAATCGAGAGTATGTTCTTTTATATTGTGTGTATAGTTTTATTATAAAATACAAATTTAGTCATCTACTTCAGAATATCAATTATCATCTAATGTGTCAAGTGCTATTTGTTAATATTGCTAGCAGTTTATGAGTCAAACTTATTTATTAATTAATTAATTAATTAATTTAAAAAAGGTAATTATGATTTTATTGTGAATAGTTTAAAAATTTTCTGCAATACCAACACACTATTGCATTGTAAATAATAAATGAATAAATAATAGCATAATAAATATGTATTATAATTTTATTTTTACTATAAAATTAAATTGTAGTGTTTGTCTTTTTTTCAAAGGTCATTATAATTTAATTAAGTTCTTCAGCACAAAACATTTATGTTCCTCTTTCATAAAAGCAAAAACCATTATTTCTTCCTTTTTGGTTTATTTATGCTCACTTATTTACCTCAAATCCCTGAAGCCAGATTCACAAAACATTCTTAAGAAATTGCAAATTTTCTGCCATTTTCTTCTTATTTACCAACTTTTGAAAAAGTCAAAGAAGAATATTTTGTCTTCCTGAGAAATCTTTTTAAGAAAAAAAAAAAAACATCTTAAAACAAATTTGAGAACTCTTAAGCTTTTTCAAGACTTGCACCTCAAGGTATTTCTTAACCTGTTTCTTAAGTATTTCGGAATGTCAGTTGTTGTTTTATGGTCAGTTGCAAAAGCAGCACACAATTTTATGGACCTAAACCCCGCAGCACTACTGAGCACTCTATTACAAGATATTAAAGACAGCAGACAGCCAGTACCAATGCAGGACGGAGATGGATGTGGATTAGACAGTCTGTTTACTCTTTCTGGAGCTGAGGAAACCAGCCAGAAGGGACCCCAGTCACGGCAGCCACCAATCAAACACTAATAAACATTATAGTCCACAGTGCAATTCACCAGCAGACAAACACACATCAGGCCTTAGTAGTGCTGACTGTTCAGTGATACAGAGAGCAATGTCTGAGATGTGTGTCTTAGATGGCTTGTGTTTTAGATGCTAAATATGTATTTTGTTTTTTATTCTAGGAAAAGCACAAGCAAATGAACAACGCTACACCAAACTAAAGGAGAAATACACAGAGCTGGTCCAGAGCCATGCTGACCTACTTAGAAAGGTGAATTGACATCCTTACATCTTCATTCTGGACACACAGTATAATCAGTCCTTCCAGGAATTTGTGAAAAAAAAAAAATTATTTATTTTTTTTACAGCAAAATACAAGAAAAATAAAGTCTAAAGTTTTGAGAGAAGTTGCCACAAATTCGGTCATTTTAGGTCTCAAATATAAAGTCTGCAATATTCTGGAGGGACTGAATAAAGATGTATACACACCTTTTTAGCACATTGTTCACATTAATACTTGCAATTAACACATTTACTAATGCTTATTGCTGTTTAATATATATAAACTTCTGTTCAGAAGTTTGTTCTCTATGGGTTTTTCATAAATAACTTCAAAAACTTTTACTTTGATATGTGTTTTTTCTATTTGAAAGTATTTTAAAGTATTGTTTATTCCAGTGATGACAAATGAAATGTCTTTAAGTAAAATATAATGAATATATAGGTCAACTTAGAGCATATATGTAGAGAACTGAGCTGTGTACAATATGATTTAAGGCAAAAGTAATTTTTTTTTACAAGCTTGCTGATGATTATCTGCAGTTAAAACACTGAGTAATTAAATAAGTTGTTAGATGGTCGTTTATGTACATTTGGTGCTATAATAAAATGTAAAGAGTTTATAGCATACAAGTATACAGCAATTCATCTTTGAATTTCCTAAACAAATGCTAGGAATTTTACACATCAGGCTAAATTCCTTTTCAAAATGAACCAAGCGCCAACCAAACCTATTTGTTATTATTGGATAACGTCTAGTGAAGATTTATTCATGTATTGATGGAAACGGGTTAGGCTAATAAAAGGCATTTAGGAATCAATATAGATTTATTTAAAGTATATTTACATAAATTATAGCTAGAAGTTTTAGATAAAACTTTACACGCACAATTTGTTCAGTACACATGTTTTGAAAGGTCTGTACTAACGATTATTGCCATGATATACTTAAAAAAAAATAATTTTAGATATTTGCAAAAGGAATTCTCTATTAAATAATGACGACTTCCACCACATTCATCACTGAAAATGGAAGGTCAACCCACATTGTGCTGTGGGATACAGTATCTAACTGCGCTTTCTTCTTTTTGCAAATGTAATTTTTTTTATGTGGATGCTGACGCACACTGCATACTTGAGCTCCATTCTCAGGCCTTTCAGTAAACCTGCGGGTGGTTTAGCTTCTATCATTTTTCCCTCATTTTCTACCTCATTTTTCCCCCAGCAGACTCTGCTCCATTTCTTACACAGATGAAACCTGGCACCGTGTTGCTCTGCCACGCTTCAAGTCTGTCATCACACTCGCTGTCATACTGCAACATAATCCAATCCCGCCACAGAGGCATCTGCCAGTTCGTGCCATGTCCTTGGGAAGGGAATGGGGTCAGCCAAGAGTCTTGGCTCTGTGCTAAACTGTACATGTCTGTGTGTTTCACAGAACGCAGAGGTGACGCGCCAAATGACAGTAGCTCGTGCCGCACAGGATGAGGTGGAGAATGTGAAGAAAGAGATGCAGGACAGATTAAAAGTCGCCCAGGACTCTGCCAGTCAGCAGGTTGGACACAAACCACACACACTTTACAATCACACACACACTCCCTCTGCCTGTTGTATCCGTAGTATGCCTGTCTTACACTTCCCTATCCTCATGTATGTGCACGAGTAGGAAAAGGCTCAGTTAGAGCAGCTTCAAGCTCTACAAGCCGAGCTCATGTCCAGCAGAACAGAACTAGAGACCCTGAAGAGCACCGTCACCTCCTCCCAACAGGTGGGACCTCACCCTCTATCCATCACCCTCTCTAACTCTATCTCAATTCCATCTTCATTCTTTGTCCCAATAGAAAGAATCTATACAATGTCAAGCAACTGACCTTATGATAGATAAATAACTGACCAATAACAGCCAAGTCAGCCAATCAGATTGCAAAAATCACAATGATAATACCAGATTTGGCTTTGGTTGGTGTCCATAATGGCAAACTATTCAGGGTAAAATTATTATTACACTCATTGTTGTTGATTTAAAAATATCAAAGCATCCTATTTCGAATATATCATGCCTGAATTGGATAGATGGAGCTGTTCGAACTTTTTTCCATGATTTGCTCATCTGCTGTAGGGATGTGTAATTTGACGAATATGACGTGGAATATATATACTGTATATCCTATGGAAGAAATAATTTACTTTTAAAAGTTTATAGTTTTATTTTATTCTCTATCGTTTAATTTGTGGTGTTGCAAAATACACCTTTTACGACAGGAGTAGCAAAGGGCCACATTAGACTCTTAGGGCGGTTTTAGAGGGCCAGATTAATACAGTTGATTTGTTTTGGGAAAAAAAGTGAAACTATTCAATAAACATCCATAAAAACTCAAGTTTAGAAGGATCAGTTTTACACAAAAAAAAGTATTTTAAAGTATTTAAAGACCAGCATCACAATATCAACTATATCACTATAATATAAATACCACAGGTGTGTATGTTTGATCGCTTCACCTTAGTTAGTTTTTATTTATTTAGTCATTCATTCATTCATTCATTATTTTTTTATGTTGAGTGAGGGAATTCTATCCTGTGTTGGGCTGAACAAGTGCACTGAAGACATATGTTACATGTGTGATGTAATGATTATCAATGACAGATTATCTGTATCTGCATTTGTTTAATCATTGCTCTGATGTAATTAGTCTACCTTTGTTACGGTGTAATTCCATACAAAGTATGAAGCTGCCTGGTTGGTTCCTGCCACATGACTCGTGGTTCGTTCTCAACACTCTTAAATGTTTAAATTTTATCAACTCGCTGCGCCTGAAAAACGTGAGCATGACATACAGTACTACATGTGCATCTCTTCCTATTTGTGCACTGATTCTCCATTTGAAATAATGAAATGGAGTGTGCAAAAATGCTAAATGTGAAAGTCCCCTTTTGTTGACTTTAATATCAGACTTGCGCGTTGCAAGGCTGCATTGTGGCTTAATTTAAATTAAATAAATACTTCACGCGGGCTTTTTTAAAGAAGTCCGGCATGTGGCCCGGGGGCCGTAAAACACCCAGGTCTGTTTTACAGTTATAGCATTTCATAATTTGGATAACCACAATCTTTTATGCCACCATGAGCATGCAGAATGCAGCGCATAGTAGGAAAATTGCAAGTTTGAAAGTACTATGTGTACATTTTAACTTTTTTTTTTTTAAGTTATATTTTTTATTATTATTTTTTTATATTTCTATACTGTTAAAAAAAACATTTGCCTTGATTATATAAAAGGAGAAAAATAATCACACATACAGAAAAAAAATTCTGTGTGTGTGTGCGCGCGCGTAATATATATAATAATATATACTAATATTATATATTAAATACTATAATTCTATAATTGTATTGACATTTGTCATGTCGCCCAAACCTAGTGTGTAATACAACCAGGTACAAAATCTTGTTCTTTCAGATTGTGCCATTGATTAACTACACTAAACTGCATCTAAAATCATTAATTCCTAAATCTTTATTTTATCAGTAAGATGACTCCAGTCATCGTTTTGATTGACAGATATAGATGGAGCATAGTGTGCATGGTTAATTAGCCATTGTCATAAGGTCAGTACTTGACAATGCTTTTCCCTCCATCCCTCTTCAGCTCTCGACCCACCACAGGATCCACGTGTCTCTGTTTCTGAGGTTAGAGTCCAGAGCAGGTGGACACGTTGATTCTGTGTTAGTGCGTGGGGTCGATGTGTCCAGATTGCTTGTAGGATCTAATGCGTCACCCTGCTTCCTCCTCCATCTTACTTCCTACTGAAACCTGCGCACCTGCTGCCTCACTGCCTGAAGCAGCTGAACACACCTGTGCTCAAAACACTGAGTCAACAACTACACCTTCGCTGCAGTTTAATGCTTTAATGGCTTGGCAAATAGCTTAAAGGTGGTCGAATGCTTCATTTAAATATTAAACCGTTTGACAGAAAACATTTTAAAGGGGCACTATTACAATTGAAGTATTTGTGCTTATTTGAGTTAAACTGCTGTTTGAGCATGAAAAAGACCTGCTAAGTAATAAAGCGTAAAGTCCACCGTGCTTTAATTTGTCTCGGTTGATCAATCGTAAAGTCCCTCTAACACTTTGTTTCTGTTGCATGGAACGGAACTATTGCAATATGTGCAAAATGAAAACTATGTCAAGAAAAGTTAAGCCAGCGGTGTAAATAGACTAAGAGTATTTTTGATTAAATTTAGTTTTATTGGTAAAGTATTACTTTCATTTACTTTCCTTTAATTCCAAAGAGAAAATTTGACTTTTATTTGTTTTTATTATTATTTAGGGCTATATTATTTGTTTACCGAGCAGGAATAAATAACCCTTGTATAATATAAGGAGGTTTCATGTGAATGTAAAAGCTAATAGTGTTAAATTAACGTCCTAGGGCAGTGGTTGTCAAACTGTGGTACATGTACCACTAGTGGTACGTGGGCTTCCAGAGGAATCAAATGTCATATGTACATGCTACATATATTTCAAAATGTATCAAAAATGATTTGTATATGAATATAATGACATATAGCCTATATTTATGAGGCCCAGGCAACATTTACAGGTGTTGATAAATTAGCTACTTAATGTTAATACTTTACATTTAGGTACAGCAGTTTTTTTTACTTTTTAAGAACAGTGCCATTTTATTTTTAACTTTTAAAAGCATATTTTAATTTAAACATTGACGATACATTTTTTTTTTGTTTGTTTGTTTGTTTTTTTGCAAATAAGCACAGTATAGTGTTAATGTTCAAACTATTTATAATGTTTAAAGTGGCTGACAATAATTAATATTTTTATTAATAGGAATTAGTCTGCATTGTTTGTGAACTGTGCAGTGCTGTTGCAGCTTTGTCGGCCTACTACACTATGCTACTGTATTTCAGTACTGCTTATTATGGTGATACTTATAGAGACAATTAGTTTCTGAGGTGGTACTTGATGACAAAGGTTTGAAAACCTCTTTCTTAGGGCTTAGTGGCCACATACATGGACAGCACATTTTGGCTCTTAAGTGGCTATTTAAAATACTTTAAAATTTGTATATTTTGTTACAGACATACAGTGTCATCCAGAAACTGTTTTGCAGCATATGAAATGTCTCAAAAACTATTTTTAACTGTCCAGAATGGGCAAAAAATGTTGTTTTTACTCTAAAAGTCAAATCATGTTCAAAGAATATGTGTGTGTTATTAATGCATTAAAAAACAGTCAGGAAAAAGTGTTTTATAGAAATTCGAAACACGATTTCCCATATATGGACATCATTATTCTCTAAAAGTACATTATATCAAAAGATGATACTTAGGTTTTGTTCTAATTAGGTTGCAATAAGCCCAAATAGCAAAGAGAAATAAAAAATGCATGTAAAAAAACTCCTTGGGCCGTAAGAGATTAATGTTTAGTGTGAAATGAATGACTATACTAATTGTGATCCTCAGACTTTAATCACACCAATATACTATAATTATTCTGTTCCTATTATCCATATCTGTAAGTGCTGTTTCTGAACTCACTCATACTCCTTACTGTTTTTTTTAGTAGCGCACACGCGCACTAATATCTTAAATTGAAATCCTTTTTACATCCAAGGGGACAGGAGTTGTATTAGTAGTTCTGTCACTAAGTCAAAAGAGATGCTGTTTCACAGATCTAATATACTGATACACATGCAATTTATTCCTTCACTGTTTACAATTACATTAATAATCAGTGATAAGTGTAGTTTTTAGAGTACGTTTTGATTTGACAGCGAAGAGAAGTTATGCGACATGCCATCTGACAGCTGGCTTTTTCTTTGCTGGAATAAATAATAATATTAATAACAAAGCATAGTTAGAAATTAAGGAAATAATGCTTTGTTTCTTCTGTATACAATGTTTCAGTTTATTTTCTCCATTTCTAACCTTCATTCTCTCTCATCAGTCTTATTTCAGTATTATAGTATTTTGATTTGATTTTAATTTGATTTAATTATTTTTGAACAAAAAAATCATACTTGAAATATAATTAACAAAAAGAAATACATTTCAACATGATCGAAAATGGAGCGGGATGAAGCATAAGCCTATTATTCTCCCATCCCATTACCACATATATAATTCGTTTATCACTTAAACTTATTTATTCTTTTACCTATCTCTTCTTTTTACATGAAACATTTTTGATCCTTTTGGTATCTTATAACAAATGACAAATAATATGTTTGATTCCATTTGTACCTTTTCATTTTGTAACGTAGACCAAAAGAAAAAAAAGAAAAAAATACATAGTACTGCAAATAGAAAAAAGAAAAAAATTTTTTTTTAATATTTATATTAGCTATTTAGATTTTTTTTAAAGAAATTAAATTGAAATGTTTCTCCTTTTTTTCCTTTGTTTCTAATTTTTAAGTTTTTCATCTTTTCATTTCAGCCTTTTCAATTAATGACGGTTTTCGTTAAAAAGAGAATAAATAGTAACAGGTTTCTTTTAACAGAGAAGTTTTAATTAACTCTGTTTCTTGTTCTCTCTGTAAAGTCTCTTCAGGTCTTGTATTCTAGATAGTGGGAGACAGTGCTAACTCAACATGATTCTCTGTTCATATAGTCAAATGAGCAGCTCGGCACTCAGCTGTCTGCTTTAGTGGCTGAGAAGGCGGGGCTTGTGGAGACCGTTTCTCGAAAAGAGGTGGAGCTGTCTGGTTTGGGGGCGGAGTTAGAGCGTTTGCAGAGCAGTCTGACCAATGAGAGGGAGAGCGGTGTGAAAGCTGCTGAGGCTCTGCAAAACCAGCTCAATGAGAAGGTGGGATGTTATACATTTGCTCTGTATTATTTGACTAGTAGTGTTGTATGCATTATTCAGCATTTTACCACAGGAAAAAGGCTTTATATTGGCTAAAAGTAATTATGGACCCGGTTTTGATTAGCTAGCCCATTTGATTCATATGTATATTTTGAAATAATATAGTGTTTTGTCCTTTTCCTTTTTCCATTTGTTGGTTTACTTACTGTCTTTAAAAAGCAAGAATTGTCTTCAAGACATTGGTAATTTGTACTCAAAAAGTTTATGAGTTCCCCTGCATCGATGGATTATAATTTCTTATTATTATAATTTTTTAAATTTGCATTATTATTGTCATAGATTTTTTTCTTAATTATTATTATTTTTCTTGTGTGTGTGTATGTATATATGTATATGTGTATATGTGTGTGTGTGTGTGTGTGTGTGTGTGTGTGTGTATATATATATATATATATATATATATATATATGTGTGTGTGTATATATATATATGTATATATATATTAGTAATGATTTAAATATAAATGATATGGCACAAAAAGTAATCTAATTTAAGGTGGTGTCATTTAATAATAGCTTAATAGCTTTTTTTCCCAGTAAAATGACATTTTACCAAAACATAGACAATTGACAGACAATTTCTGTCAAAAAGAAGAAAGCTATAACTAAATCTTTTACCAGTAAAGCCCTGAGCACCATGAATGCATTCAGACTTCGTTTCATCACTTTTGTTGACACTTAATTCCTCAATTGAGATGAGAAACGCTCATGGGATCCTGTTGTAACACTGATTTTCCTGTCTGTGTGTAACATATACTTTTTTAAAAGATATAAAATTAAATTAAAAATTTAATGGAAAAAAAGAAGAAAAATAATTAAAACAGTATTTGAATAGTCTAGTTTGTATGTTAGAAAAATGTTTATTCATTTTTAGGGGTGATTTATATATATATATATATATATATATATATATATATATATATATATATATATATTATTATTATTATTTTTTTTTTTAATTTTTAACATGCATTTTAACATTAATAAAATATGATTTTATTAATGTTAATATTTCCAGCATCAGCAACAGTGAGCATATGCCAAAAGCGGTTTTCCAAAAACAACCATAATTCACAAATAAGATCAAACCAGCAGATGCACAAATATATTGAATGTAGCCTATGTATAGTACATTAAGTATACATATTTACTTAATCTTTAGATAAGAGTTTTTACAGATGAAATTTAAATGAATATTAGTTTGCAGCTTTTTAAAACCTAAAAGTCATCACCTAAATATGATTTATGATGAAAACTGCCCAATCACAGAATACTTATTTGTCCTTTTTTTAATTTAATGCTGAAAACATCATATAATTGCCGAAGTATGAAATGATCAGAGGACAGTATTTGTTAATGCTTAATATCTGATGTTTTATGTTCATGTTTTGTCATTTCTGTATGGTGTCTGTACTGCTGATACAATATTTAGTCTCTATTTACATACTCAAAAATACAAAATCTTTGCTATGGAGTTTTAAAAGAACACTCCACCTTTTTGTGAATTACTTCTAATTAATGCTTGATCCCCTTGAAGGACATCAAAACAACATTTATAGGGGGTCAGCTCTATAATGCTAAGAAATAATTTTCTCTGCTTTGTGTTTTAAATAGTAATACTAATAATTAAAAGATAATCAAATCAACAACATAAACATCCATTTGACCATCCTTATTAGGGTTCATACCACCGTAATGCATAATCGCGTCAATCAGACTATGCTAGAAAAAACTCATTCAGAAAGGCATATATTGAGCACTAATAGACAACGTAACTGTTCACAAGACTGTTTTCTCATAAATAGCTGTTTTTTTTCTACATATAGCCTAAAAGTCAAGTCAAATTAGATGCATCGTTTAGTAGCATGTATAGTGTAGTAGCTAATCGGATACATTAGGTCAGAAAACATAAAATATCAAAAACATAAATATATTTTATTAATGAATTGGATGTCATTAAAATAAATGCATACAGTAAATTTCATTCACTGAAACATGTATTGCAAAGACTAACATTACCAAAAAGTTGACCCCCTGATCATCAATGTGTAAGTCACACCCTGTATACAAGCCCATTTTTCTAACAGTTGAGTTTAACTATTTTTTAATCCATTCAGTCAATCTCCAAGTCTGGCAGGAGCACTTTTAGCTTAGCTTAGCATAGATCAGTGATTCAGACATTAGACCATTAGCATTTTGCTTGAAAAAAATATTTCAAAAAACTTTTTTCAATTATTTTCTACTTCAAGATATAGTTTTCTGTAGTTACATTGGGTACAAAGACTGACTAAAAGTTGCTATTTTTGTAGGTTGATATGGCTAAGAACTATATTTCATTTCAGCGTCATAGTCAAGGAACTTTGCTGCCGTATCATGGCTAAAATTGTAAAACTCCGCTGTTTAACTCTAGGTCACTTGTACAAATAGCCTATTTCCAAAAAAGTGAAGTTTTCCTTTAATGTAAGTCCAGAAAAGAGATCGGCTGAATTCTAATTTCTCGTCTGATTCTAATTTCTGTCCAGTCAGTCGGCGCACATCTAGCTAAAGGTTAGCTTTATTAGCATGTGGACTGTTCACCTCAAAGCTCATACAAAGTCTTCATTGTCTTTGTGTTTGCAGGAAAGTCGTGAGCAGGCTCTGGAAAGCGAGTTGGTCTCTCTGCGCTGGGCGTCTCTGCGAGCGGCTCTGGAGGAGGCGGGAAAGATCGTTCAGGACAGCTTGAATCAGCTGGAGGACCCTGCACACATCAGCTGCACCAGTTCAGCCGGTCAGAACCCAGCTCAGATGCACCACGCTTCTTACACCATACTGCAGGAACTGCCCTAAGAGAGTGTAATAAATATTAAAAGAGCTTCTTGTGTGTGTAGATTACCTGGTGTCCAGGTGCCAGGTGGCTCTGGACTGCGTGGAGAGGCTGCGTTCGTCCAGAGACGGCTTTGTATCAGATAACACAGGTGAATTACATGAACACACACTCTCATTTCCCTTCTCAGTTAACATTCATTAATGCAGCGTTCACTTCAGCAGTACCGGGAAAGTTAAACTGAAACTGGAGCCTGCCAAGATTACACAACTTGCACATCATTTAAAGTAGTTAAAGAACTGTAAATTTACTAGGTAATTAAAAACTTTGTAGAGTAATTAACTATGTTGAAGATGCGGAAGGAGACAAATGTATTTTAGTTATTGACAGTTGTACTGCTTAAAGCAGAGGTGCTTATACTTGGTCCTGGAGGGCCGGTGTCCTGCAAAGTTTAGTTCCAAACCTAATTAGACACACCTGTTCACTCATACTGAACTACTCATACTGAAGTGTATTTTTCTGAGGTGCAAGTTTCAATTTTCATTTAAACAAAAAACAAGATATTCTGAAGAATGTTGTGGGAAAAGCAGCCATCAACATCCATAGTAGAAACCAAAACATATCATGGAAATGGACTTTTGTGAATATCCTCTTTTGTGTTCAACAGAAGAAATAAAGTGTGGAGAGTGTGTAATTGATGACCAAACTTATTTTTTTTCTAGCTCTTTAATAATTCAATGGAAACTGTGCTATATTTTGTAGCAGAATCTTAGATTAACATACAGTGAAATTAAAAAGAAGAGCACTTAAGTATAAATCTTATATGGCATAAATGTTTATACTTTACCTTTTTAGCAAATAAATACATTTAAAGTTCTATAATCTTTACATTTTAGAAAGTATAATGATTTAAACAAAAATAATATGGCAGGAAAGCTAATCTGATCTAATCGTCTAATCTAAGACAGTAGCATTTAATAATAGCTTAATAACTTTTTTTTTTTTTAAGTAGAAGGACACTTTACCAATACAAACATGTTGACAATTTTTTGTCAAAAAGAAACACGTAAAGATCAGAGAAAAAAATAGTACAAATAAGTACAAATCTTAGATGGCATAAATGTTTTTACATTCACTTTTTATCAACTTTTTTTTTTGTCAAAAATTATTATTATTATTATTTTTTAAATACATGAATATTTGAACTGTAGAAAGAATAATATAACTCTTTTAATGTAGAGAGAGTTTTTCTTACAGGGTGTCCGCTGCGTCTTAAAAAGTAAATCTTTAAATGTCTTAAATTTCAAAAACGAAATTTTAGGCTTTAAAGTATAAATGGTTGTGGGTCCTAAATAATTTTAAACTGGTCTAAATTTTTACTTTGTCCGAGTAAATCTTCTCAGTTGGGCCAACATCCATCCAATGACCATCAATGCATCTCAATAAAGCCTTATTTTTAAAGTTTTTTTTTAAGTTTTTTATTGCAAAGAGATGCAATTCACAACAGCTGTTAGACATTTGTACAGCAAATTCCCCATTAATTTCCCTAGTCAGGGTAGGAAAACTAAAAACAATTGCACGATTTCTGATGATAATACAGAGCCATTAGGAAAAAATTCGTGTTTAACCCTGTATAAGTCTAAAATTTAATTTTTAATGGTCTTAAAATGGTCTTAAAATGTCTTATATTTAACTTGATGAAATCTGCAAAAACCCTGTTCTTTAAAATTCATTTATTGAAAGTGTTTTGTCCTTTTCCTTTTTGTTTGTTTTCCTCACTGTCTATAAAAAACAAGAAACGTCTTCAAGGCTTTCTTAATTTGTGCTCAAAAAGTTTATGACTTGCTCTGCTAAGTCTTGCATCCTATCATGAACAGCAGGTGTGGAGGATGGCACATAAAATACTAGGAGACAGCACACACCCATTAAACAAATATTTTGAGTGGATGCCCCTATGGTGACATCTAAGTACAATAAGATGTTCCACAAACCGTTATAAATGTACTTTTTTTATAACCTGAAGTAATTCGATTATGTAGTAAATGCAGTTAATCTTGGATTATAATTTCTTAATATTAATTCTATTTTTTTTATTTGCATTATTATTGTTAATGATTTTTTCTTTATTGTTATTATTATTATTTTTTTGTTGTTTGTGTACTTGATGTTAAGTGTTGGTGTTTTGTGTTAAGTGTGTCATTCTTGTTATTTGTGAATATATCAAGCACCACCATGTCAGAATAAATAATAAATTAATAATAATAATAATAATAATAATAATAATTAGTTTATAAGTAGATATATATATATATATATAAATAATATTAATAATATAATATAAGTAATATATGTATATATAATATATATATAAATAATGTGTGTGTGTGTGTGTGTGTGTGTGTGTGTGTGTGTGTGTGTGTGTGTGTGTGTGTGTGTGTGTGTGTATATAAATATATATATATATATATATGTATATATGTATATATGTGTATATATATATATATATATATATATATATATATATATATACACATAAACATACTCATACATACCATGGTAATGATTTAAATATAAAGGATATGGCACAAAAAGTAATCTAATTTAAGGTGGTGTCATTTAATAATAGCTTAAAAGCTTTTTTTTCCCAGTAAAAGACACTTTACCAAAACACAGACAATTTTTGTAAAAAAAGAAAAAAGCTGTAAACTGCTAACCAAAGCATTTTAGGCCTTAGTATTGTTTAAATGATAATTTTACACTCAGTCTGAGCAAAGTGTATCATGAAACAAACGTTCTGAATCAGTAAGTGGTCCTAAACAGTCTGGCTGTTGTCTGAGCTCCTATGCTGGTAAGGGTGTGCAATACATATAGTGACACATATATGATGTGTTATTTTGCAATGTTACGCCACTGACTGTTGGGAAAAATAGTTAACACATCTGAAAAATTGAACAATCCACACAGTTTTGAAAACAGCCATGCTATCATCAACTACTGAAAACTTTCCTACTCCCTGTTTTTGCTTTGTATTTAGCTCAAAAATATACAACTAAATCCTTTACCAGTAAAGCCCTGAGCACCATGAATGCATTCAGACTTCGTTTCATCACTTTTGTTGACACTTAATTCCTCAATTGAGATGAGAAACGCTCATATGATCCTGTTGTAACACTGATTTTCCTGTCTGTGTGTAACAGATGTGTCTGGACTGGTGCGGGCAGTGACTCAGTTTGCTCACCTGGTGGGCGATGTCATCGTGCAGGGCAGCGCCACCTCCCACATGGTGCCAGTGGAGCAAGCTGACGGTGAGCATGACACATTTATCATTTCAACACCTTCCTATTCAGGTTTACATCATGTAATCACATCAAAATGCAAAACGAATGCATATTTATATGCAAATGCTTTATCGAAAATATATAAAGGGCAGTATCTGCCTAGCTCATGTTAATCTCGAGTACCTATAGAGTAGAACTGCATCATTCATATCTTTGACGAGTCTTTCATTGAGCAATATTTGCAAAAATTACAGCATCACATGTCTATGTGGGATTTACTGTAATCATTTGCTTGGTCGTAAACGACGAAGTCTCCTTTCATGATGTCATCGTATATTTTTCTGCATTTGTCCATTGTAAAACATCTACATGTGGGTAGTCCAGTGCAATGTCAATTTAAGTAGTAAACATTTGGTGGTCAGCTAAACAAAAATATTTAAACACACATCGTGGGATTATGCCTGAGTAACGTTTGGTCAACTTTACAGTATGTTTGTGTTGTTTATAAAGCTGTGGTGAAAAATAGTTTTGAGAAATCGAATTTGGGTTGGCGCCAATAGCTTAGAGGTACTGTGTTCTGACATACAGTATATAGCAGAGTGCTCATGCCGGTGACCCTAGTTTGATTCCCAGCTCAAGGTCCTTTGCCGATCCTTCCCCTCTCTGCTCCCAATGCTTTCCTGTCTGAAATCTCCCCTATTCTATATCATAGTAATGGTAAAAACTTAGCGATTTTTTTTTTGGACCTGTACTTAGTTTTTAACAGCAGATGGCTTTCTAGGCTAGTTTTTTAATTATAACATTAATCATACACTGAAATTCTCATGAAAAGCTCTCAGAAAGTTGTTTTTTTATGTCAGGTGTTAACGTAAACAGCTAACTTCAAACACACTTGTAATTCACTTGAACCAAAAATAATTATTCATTAAGTTAGCAAAGGTTTAAGTGGTATTTGTAAGGAACTGAATGCAAGCTGAGTATGGTTGTTCGTAAAGCATACAGCAGCATCTGCTATTAAAAAATAAGCTCAGAATCCATTCAAGCTAGAAAAACTGTGTAATTTGCTGTTAAGTGTCTAAAGTACTGAAAAGTGTCGTCAACACTTTTCTAAACACATAATAGTTTTAATAACTATCTCTAATAACTGATTTATTTTATCTTTCTAATAACTGATTTATTTTATTATAACATTACTAATAACTGATTTATTTTATCTTTACCATGATGACTGACTGTACATATTATTTTACTATATATTTTTCAAGACACTTCGATACAGCTTAAAGGAACATTTAAAGGCTTAAGTAGGTTTGTTAGGTTACCTAGGTAAAATGGAGTTTACTTTCATTCTCTCATTCACAGTGAAATAGGGGCTTCTGCTGTAAGTGTCAGTGGAAGAATGTCCAGCAAACACACATGCAGTGAAATTGTGCACAGTTTCTGCGTTTTTAAGAAGTTGGAGCATTTTAAATACTCGCGCTTGCCTCCCTCGCCATAGTAAGCTACGGCGACATGGCGCATATGAGATAAATGATGTTCATAAATGATGTACATAATAACCAGTTATGATCATTACTGAACCATACCAAATTGTCCTTATCTGCATCACACCAAAGACACAATTATTTTGACACCCCAAGTATTTACCATGGTATGTATTTTTCTGTCATTTCAAAATTTATTTTTACTTTGTGATAGTCTTTTAATCAATATGTTAATGGGAAAGTATGTGTGTGTGTGTGTCCAACATTTTGGTGAATTACATTTGTTTGAGTTTGTTATAAATTTGAAAATGATCACTTTTGCGATGACAAGGCTCCATTTCAATAGCTCAAGATGCCATCTGGCGGTAAGGGTAAATGATTAGCAGCAGTTTTCCATCCCATTGGATCTCATTTTTTAAATAATCAGTCCAGGAGGTGGCGCCGATCAACAGCAGTATCAGTTCAAAAGTGTTCAAAGCAAGTAAAGTAGATTAAAACTATCGTTTCAAAGCGATCATTACGCATCAAGCATCCTCCTTACGCATACACGCAAAGCATAATGGGAAATTTTGCGTTCTAAGAAAAAGGTCTATTGGCTTGCTCTAGTAATCTGACGAATTAACTCACCTCTCAGATCTAAAGACAACACTCATGACAAAACTGCTGAGTTTGTCAGTTTTTGGGGTCTCCCAACACATTTCTATTGTGGTCTGTACTATTTGCAGCATGTTTCTGTATTTGCATGTGTTGTGAGAATTTGTGTAGGTCTATTATCAAAATGATACTTGTAGCACATTTGAGCTATGTCAACTACCCTTTTGATATAAGTAGCATAATTGCACTCACTAAAATTAAAATGCTAAATATTTTAAAACCGCACTGTATTATCACGTAGAGACGTCCAAGAAACTGACTTTGTTTAAGTTGCTCTCCATACATCACAAGGGTCATTCCAATCATTGTGGTTCTGTTAATAACTGGCCGCCGGGGGTCTGGGGGTTTGGTTTCAAGTTGCTTTTAAAGAGCATGGCATAACTCAAAGCGACTAATGTGCTGTGCCCACGTGCACAATGCAATCATGTCATTCATTGCAGCAAATGTGTCTGTTGGAGCGTATGTGGAGTGTCTGCAGGTGACAGATGGCTAGTCTGACTGCTTTCTGCTTTTTGTCTGTGGGCAGCATTGGCAGACAGCGTGAAGGCGTGTGGCGCAGAGGCCCTGACGCTGCTCTGCCAGCTCAAGGAGCAGGAGTCTATGGGGGCGGCAGACTGTAGTCGGCTGAGGACGGCACTAGATTCTGTCAAGGCCTTGGGCGAGGTGAGAGTCAGTCTGGGTTTTAGTTTAAGAAAACAGTTGATTGAACAGCAATGTTGGCAGGGCTCTGATATGTTTTGGGCATTTGAGTATCTGCTTGGGGGTCTTTCCTCATTTCAGCCCCATTTTTTTCCGCTCACTTTTTGCCAGTCTGTCTTGCTCAGTCTAAATAAAGGCACAAAGTAATGAAAATAAATCTTCGATAGATTAAAAAGAAATGTTAGAATGTAATTAGCAGAAAGAACCATTTTAGCACACTTTTCCTGAATGATTTATAATCTGCCAAAACCGGTATAAAGTATTACTGTTTTTTTTACTGCATATTATACAGCATATACTGTATATCGTCCAGTGTTTTTTTCTTTTAATATTTTGAATGGCTTTTTATTTGTATATTTCGGGTTTTAACTACTTTTTTTCGTAACATTTTATTCAGGATTTCTAGGTTCAGACAAAATCTTACCTACATTCTTAGTTATTTCTGCTGAGAATTTTGTAAAAACAAACTTTGGATTTATGTTGAATGATGTTTTTGGAGTGTTGTTGCTAAAAACTTAATATATGTAATAAAAATTTATACTTTTTTATCTTTAATATTTAAAATGCAAATCCAATTAGATCCACTAAATTGATAAACTAAACAAGTCTCTCATATAATACATCTACTAAAAGACAGTAAATACTACTAATAGTCAATAATATTACTAAAATTAATAAAAATTGAATAAATTAAAATTTACACACATTTACCCAAATAAATGAATCTGCGGAAATCTGCGAATGCAGATTCCATGTGGGCCTACTTATTCCCCAACAAATGAGCTCTTTACAGATGAGGGAATTGTAAAAAAACAAACAAACAAAAAAAAAACAACAACAAGCAAACAATAGTAATAAATATATCAAGATAAAAAAATATATATTCATACAGTTATTACCATCATAATGAATTTTCAGCAGATGCAATTGTACATCAAGTTACTTTGTGTTATGTTGTAGTTGCATCAAATTAGATAATTAATAGGTTAATTAAGCTCTAAATTGAAAATAAAAATATTGTAATACTTTTCCTCCTCTTCATTCAATTTACTGTTGATTTTCATAATTTGAAGGTTTTTTTAAATTGTCATTTTAATTTTTTAAAATGTATGTTTAAATTTCGATTGTCATTTTAGCTTAAACATTATTTTTTCTAAGACTGTTTCACATCTAATTTTTCAATTAAATTTGATTTCTACTTGTTAATAAACTGTTTTTAATTGTTTTTATAATTTAATTGTTCACTCAGGTGCAAAGGTGTCATCTAAATTCATTTTCGCTTTAGTTTTACATCTGATATTTCCATTTAAATTGATGTCACATTTACTTAATGTAAATAATTTGTACTATTTTAGTGAATGAAAACAACACTATTAATACCAGTAATTGATTTTATATTGTGAAACGGTATTATCTGTATATAGTATTACACATCATGAAGACCATGATATGCTTAAAGTGAAAATGAAAAATAAACTCCTGTGAAGTCATATCTTTTGGGGCAATCTTTCCGTAATACTGAATTTCAAAATATATTATTTGCAAATTCAAATGTTTAAATATAAGATTTTAAATTGAATAATTATTTTAATAATAATTTGTAAGTCATTAATCATTAGTATGCTCCGATAAATAAAAAACAAGAAAAAGCTAGAAGTCACTAACTGTAAATGTGGGAACAAGCATATTGCATTACTGTACTCCACACAGTTTGCTCTGGCTAAATATTTATAATTTTAGCATATATAGTAGACAGTAAACAAAACATGCTAACCATTTCTTGCTCGTATCCTCTTGTGTTTTGTGTGAGCAGAAGTTGCGTCCTCGGGGTTTGGAGCTGCAGCAGGGGGAGCTGGGAGATCTGGTGGAGCAGGAGATGGCAGCCACATCTGCAGCTGTAGAGTCTGCTGCCGCCAGGATTGAGGTAATCAGACGGCTCCCATTCAGACCGACGCTTAATAAAACATGAAGCGCTCCGGTCCACTCATCTAATGCTTTTCCCCTTTGCTCTCTCACAGGAAATGCTCAATAAGTCCAGGGCGGTTGACACTGGAATCAAAATGGAAGTCAATGAAAGGTCAGACTGACCGAGCCACATGTGTGTTATGAATACAAATACAGTGTTAATTCTCAGTGGATTTGTGAAAATGTCACTTTTTTTTCACTTGGATAGTGCTGCGTGTTTACTGTCACCCCAGACGCATTAGCCGACCCACCCTGACGCATGCTAAACAGGCTTTATTTGTTGCTTTCTGTCGCCCCCTGCAGGATTTTGGCGTCCTGTACAGATCTTATGCAGGCCATCAGAGTATTAGTTCTGTCCTCCAAAGACCTGCAGAGGGACATTGTGGAGAGCGGCAGGGTGAGGAAACCGAACACTTTGAGCAAAACACATGCTAGTGTTGAGTTTAAAACATGTTTCTGAAGTTTCTTGCGTGCTTACAGGGAGCTGCATCTATGAAGGAGTTTTACGCCAAAAATTCCAGATGGACCGAGGGTCTCATTTCTGCCTCGAAAGCTGTGGGCTGGGGCGCAACCATGTTGGTGTGAGTATTTCAGAAATTGAGGGGATGTATGTTGAGCTTGACATGGAATAGCCACAAGGTACTGATGTGGCAATAAACAAACAAACAAACAAACAAACAAACAAACTGAAAATTGTTTTTGAGAAATGTTACGATACGCCAATCTGTAACAATTTAACAAAAACAACAACATTTAATTGTAGATATTTCATATAATCACAATTGTATGAGATGACAATAACTGTGCAGAGTACATTTCATTTAGGAGTTTAGGCTCATAAAAGGAAATTAATGAATAAACATGAATCAAATTTATTAAAATTTTTGCAAATTAAAAGATGCATTTCACTTCACCTTGTGTCAATTACTGTATATTTACACACTGCCTCTAAAACTTTTGTGTCATAAAAAATTGTACAATAGGTTTGATTTTTTTTTTTTTTTGATTCGTTAATTTCCATTCGTAGCAAACATTTTGAGTGGTATTTTGACAATACAGAGCCACCGTACAAGTGGAAGCCAGGTTCCTGGATGCTAATGCTTGCAACACAGAGTGCTTTGACATTCAAAGTAGGGCTGCATGATATTGAAAAAATCTTACATTGCGATATTTTGTTTTGTTGCGATTATTTATTAATACAGTTGAAGTCAGAATTATTAGCCACCTTTCATTTTTTTTTTCTTTTTAAAATATTTTCCAAATGATGTTTAACAGAGCAAGGAAATTTTTACAGTATGTATAAAAATATTTTTTCTTCTGAAGAAAGTCTTACTTGTTTCAGATAGAATAAAAGCAGTTATTATTTTTTTAAACACCATTTTAAGGTCAAAATTATTAGCCCCTTTAAGCTATATTTTTTCAATAGTCTGCAGAACAAAACATCATTATACAATAACTTGCCTAATTACCCTAACCTGCCTAGTTAACCTAATTAAGCTAGTTAAACCTTTAAATGTCACTTTAAGCTGAAAAATATCTAGTAAAATATTATTTACTGTCATCATGACAGATAAAATCAGAAGGTTATTAGAAATTAGAATTAGAATTATTAAAACTATTATGTTTAGAAATGTGCTGAAAAAAATCTTCTCTCTGTTAAACAGAAATTAGGGAAAAAAATAAACAGGGGGGCTAATAATTCTGACCTCAACTGTACGTGTTTTTCAATATCGTGCAGCCTATACATAATTAATAACATCAACCTCACAAATATTCTTTCATATTTGCAGAAAATGTTGACTTTATATATATTTTTTGCTTTTTTCAATTCAAAATTTGATTATTTTACCACTCCACATTTCATTTATTCATCCATCCAGTTATTGTCTGAATATTAAAGGATTGGTTTTTGGGATTCTTTTCTCGTTTTCTGCATTGTGGACATAAAAGAGGTTTAAACCCTACACCGACTGATCTATGAACCATCACCATAATGACGTTATGTTTTCCTGCAGTGATGCTGCTGATCAGGTGGTGCAAGGAAAGGGCAAGTTTGAAGAGCTAATGGTGTGTTCGCATGAAATAGCCGCCAGCACAGCTCAACTGGTAGCAGCATCTAAGGTACAGCACAGATTTAATTAACATTAAAGCAAAGTAATGACACCACATGATGCTAATAATGATATATGATCTATTGCATTCCTTCAGGTTAAAGCGGAAAAGGGCAGTTCAAACCTTTCTCGTCTCCAGCAGGCCTCTAAAGGGGTCACCCAGGCCACCGCGGGAGTCGTAGCATCAACCAAGTCCGGCAAGTCTCAGATCGAGGATACAGGTGAGCACATCCATCCTCATTCCCAGACACATTGAGTTATGCTGCTCATGTGGGAAATTTAGATTCGATTATGGCTCGCAGAATATCCTGAAGATAAATAAATAAGGGCTAAATGAATATAGTAAAAGTAAAAGCAGCCTCATTTTGCTCTCAATGACCTCCACAGTCACATTGCCCTATTTCATATTTAACTATAGCCAAGGAAACTGGTTTATGGTGCCCTCCAGAGATGCAGGAAAAAGCTGCGCACAGTCAGGCTCTCCTCCTCCGCACTGGCTCTTCTCTGATTTAAACAACATTGACCAGTCACATAGATTCAGTGACATTGTGTGTGTCCTTTCATATGCAAATCAGTAGTCGATTTGTTGATGTTTTAGACTCAGCTAGTAAATATTTAGATTCTTTGATCTTGATGTTCAAAATGGCAAACCGATCAATGGACGGTATGCGAATAGTCAGTTTGCATGAATTACATTAATGATCTAATGTATTTGCTTAAATGTGCTGTATGCAACTGTCTAAAGATTTTGCTGTGGCAACACAGGAATTAATTCAAATGTAATGTACACTCAATAAAATTATGTTTGCTGTTTATTCAAACTAGGGCTGCACGATATTGAAAAAAATTGATTTTGTAAACATTTTATTTTTCTGTGATGATTTTGCAATATTAATTCAGTTTTACAAGATAGTTTGAACTGTAGTAGCACTGTTTGATGTTTTTTGTCTAACAGTATTCTGGTACAGAAATTAATTAATCACAATACTGTTCTTACTACTATTTTGTCTTATTTCTAGCCCAAATATCAAAAAATTCTTAGATCAAGTAAAAAAAAATTTAATTTGAAAAATAAGAGTTTTTTTTTTATTAAAACAAGTAAAATTATCTACCATGGGGGGAGTAAAATAATCTCCTTTTTCGCTTTGAAATGTAGATATTTGGACTAGAAACAAGATAAGTATACCACTAAAATATAGTCAAATGAAATTTTGCTCAACATTGCATGTATGAACTATATATTGTGCAGCCCAAATTCAAACTACTTATTTCAGTTAACCTGAAACAATAATTTTCTTGAGGTTTTTGGGACAACTTAATTGTTTTATGCTCAATCAACTTAAATTTGTAAAAACTAACAAGTTATCAGGGCGAGGCAGTGGCGCAGTAAGTAGTGCTGTCACCTCACAGCAAGAAGGTGTTCGCTGATTCGAACCTCGGCTCAGTTGGCGTTTCTGTGTTGAGTTTGCATGTTCTCCCTGCCTTCGCGTGGGTTTCCTCCGGGTGCTCCGGTTTCCCCCACAGTCCAAAGACATGCGGTACAGGTGAATTGGGTAGGCTAAATTGTCCGTAGTGCATGAGTGTGTGTGTGAATGTTTGTGTAGATGTGTCCCAGAGATGGGTTGCGGCAGGAATGGCATCCGCTGTGTAAAAACTTGCTTTATAAGTTGGTGGTTCATTCCGCTGTGGCAACCCCGGATTAATAAAGGGACTAAGCCGCAAGAAAATGAATGAATGAATAACAAGTTATCTTAATTCCTTCATGTTTTCCCAACACAAATTCCATGATTGTGTGGAACCCAACATTTTTACAGGATTTATAAAATGAAAATATCATAGAATTAAATATTCATATTTACTAAATTATTATGGTACTTGTATCGCATTCTGGATAGGTATTTTTGTTCAAAATGTGTATAATATATATTATTATTATTTTTTTTCAATTATATATATATATATATATATATATATATATATATATATATATATATATATATATATATATATATATATATATATATATATATATAATATTTTATAATGCACTCTATTTCTTATATTTTTATAACACTTTTTATAAACACTTCTTTATAATCTTTATAATAAGAAACTTTAGAATCATCTATTATTATTATTTTAACAAATTAAAATCAGTTCTTAAACCTCCAAATCAATATTTTAATCTCTGTTGATTCTTTTAATGTGTCAATAAAACTTCACTTGACATTATTGCAACATAGTGCACCTGTAGTTTGGTTCCTTTTGATGAGAAACAAAGTATCATCTTTCAAATTAAAGTTTATTAAATTCAAATACTGTTTTGAATATGCTGCTCTTTCATTTGTGTGCAGTAACGTGACTTAGTACTACATATAGAACTTAAACAAACCTAATAAAGATTTAATGAAATTGCTCAATCAGTGTTTGAACAAACAAACACATCAATAAAACAGCTTGTAAAAAAAAAAGTCTAGGAACTCTTTTTTTTCCCTGTAGTGATTTTATACAATGTAGATTCCACCATAGCTGCTGTAGAGAAAAATAATAAACGGCACATAATAAAATGTTGCATTGCGTTTATTTACTTCAGGCACGTCATTCTGCATAGTTTATTTACAAGAAAAGAAAAATATATATTTTTTATATTATAATAGCATGCACATTGGTTATACTTTACTATATTTTACTGAACATGTTGGCGATATGTTATTTAACCTATGTTCAATGTTATGAAAATGTTGGTGTATATTTTTTTTATTTTATTTTTATTAAATTTTGATTTAAATGACAATTAAATTCAGTTATTGTAGGTAATATTATAATATATCTGTAAATATTCATTACAGTTAATATAAAGAATAGTGAATTTAAAAAAGTTGCGACTACTTCATTTTGGGGAAAAAAATGTCATTTTTGTCTACATTACCTCTATAATAAATATTATTTATTATGCTTTTCAAAAAGCCAGTAGCCTAATTCACATCACAACAAAACAGGATTAGGGTATTATTCATACTCTTAATCAATAGATAATTTTACTGAACCAAAACTACATTTATACAAGAAAATGTTTAGACATGCGTTAAAAGCACAAAAATCTGTTCACATACTGTAGGTACTTAATGCAGAGCTCTGTCTTGTTTTTCAGAAACAATGGACTTTTCTGCAATGACGCTCACCCAGATCAAGAGGCAAGAGATGGATGCACAGGTGAGTGTGATGACTTGATTTCTATGTTTGTGCTTATATGTCATTCAAATGCATTTTATGTTATGTGACTACAAGTTGTCAGCCAAAATGCATCACTGTTTCCACCTGGTCTACATAGTCAAAGTCAAAAGTCAAAGTCAGCTTTATTGTCAATTCAGCCACATGTACCAGACATACAGAGAATCGAACTTGCGTTACTCTCAGACCCCAGGTGCTTAACATTAATATAAAATATATATATATAAAAAAAGTAGAGTTTAAGAAAAAGAAAATTTACAGTGTATACAGTGCACATAAATGTGGTCTGAAAGATACACATAGGTAATAAAAATTGTAAACAATACAGTGACATTAAGGGCATATAGCTAATGAATGCAAAGTAAACCAGAGTTGTGCAGATAAAGAACAGTATAGTGCAAAAAGAACTTGTAAACATGATAATTGTGATAAAGTGACAGTGACATATTGGGAGGTAGTATGGTGTGTCTGCATAAAGTGACTAGTGTAGTGTAGTTGAGTGTGTGTGTGTGTGTGTGTGTGTGTGTGTGTGTGTGTGTGTGTGTGTGTGTGTGTGTGTGTCAGTCTGTCAGTCAGTCAGTCAGTCAGTCAGTCTGTCTGTCAGTCAGTCAGTCAGTCAGTCAGTCAGTCAGTCAGTCAGTCAGTCAGTCACACACTCAGTCAGTCAGTCAGTCAGTCACACACACACAGTCAGTCAGTCAGTCAGTCAGTCAGTCAGTCAGTCAGTCCAGAGGTGCGAGGGGAGGAGTCTTTCAGTCTGTTGGTCCTGGCCTGGAGACTGCGCAGTCTCCTCCCTGATGGCAGCAGACTGAAGAAGCTGTGCATTGGGTGGGTGGCATCTGCTGTTATGCAGAGGGCTTTACGGGTAAGACGTGTGCTGTAAATGTCCTGAAGGGAGGGGAGAGAGACACCAATGATCTTCTCAACTGTTCTCACTATGCGTTGAAGGCATGGATGTACAGATGGGTCTTTTATGTGATATTGTCAGGACCCTTCCCGCTTATTTAATCACACTCTACATCACACGAGTGCTCGGTTAAGTGCACAAGTACTGTTAAATGAATGAACCCTTGTTGTGGCTCATACAGTAGGTGAGTTGTTGGAATGTAATTGGGATTTGAATGATAATCCAGTTATTTTGGTACAACACAGTCAGCAAACTAAAAATACCTTATTTAAATGTGTTCTCCCACAACACATCCAGAAAAATGGAGAGTCGATGGCATGAGTGTTTACACTAGAAAAGTAAAATGATCAAATGTGTTTCCTGCGGGGATGTCAAAACTTCCTCATCTTCCACTATTAGACTGCACCACTAATCGTGAACACTAAGTGTGAACACTGATACATGGACCCTGGAGTGTTTGAAATCTGTGTCTATCAGAGGATCTGCTGTCCATTTATCTGTTAGTCGATGAAATGCATCTTAAGTGTAAATGGTGTCTCTGTGAACATATTTTGACCATTTCATGTGTGTCAGGTGTTGGTGTTGGAGCTAGAGACGCGGCTGCAGAAAGAGAGAGAGCGACTGGGTGAACTGAGGAAGAAGCATTACGAGCTTGCGGGCGTCGCGGAAGGATGGGGAGGCGAGGAGGAAGGTTAGACGCCCGAGCTCTCTGTCAACAAATCTGCTTAATCCTCAAACAAACAAATAAAAAAAACATCCTGGGATATACAGGGAGGGTGGGTGGAGATTTCAGGCCTAATGCTAAAGGGTTAAGTTAACTGGTTTTGTTGGCTAATGGGTTAAGCTGAAGGGTGTATGGTAGTTTGCTTTTAGGTAATTGTTTCTCTTTTTTGTTTGTCTGCAGGAACGGGTTGAGACTCGTCCCGTTCTGAACCGCGGCCCTGCAGATTGGGCGCTTGAAGTCTTTATATACACACTCTTTCCCTTCTCCCTTTTTATTGTACTTTTTAACTCTTTTGATTTACTTTATTGTACATTAAAGCCAAATAAAAGGTGCTTTTTTTCTAACCTGCTCCCTCCCCTGCTTGTGGAGACGCGAGGAGTGTGAGGATAGTGTGCCACAAATGAAGAAGGAAGTGGATGGCACCATCTAGTGGACAAAGAGGGAAGTACAGGCTCGCTGAACTGTCCGAGTGTTTCATTTCCTCTTCCGCCTTTTATGGAAATGGAGTATCTTCCCCATCCGTGACTGTTTAGAACAATCCTGTCTCATCATGAAACATCCCATGATGCACTGCACAAGGGTGAGTCACCCCATTTTGCAGGAAGTGACACTGCGCTGTCACCCTTTCACAAACAGCAGCGGTGTGCGACTTCCAGCTCTCAAACGCATTCCTTAATGCCATGTAGGATCATCCTCGTCTGGGTTTTTGGACTAAAAAGCGAGCGCTGGATGGAGTATTTGATGACCCACTATGGACTAACCTGAAAACACTAGCAAACTCAACAGAGTTTTTCTGGATTCAGTATTTTTTTATGTTCACTTTTCCCTTGATTAGGCATTAATTTTATAAGAAACCCTACATAGACTTAATCCACAGGCTTTGAACTGTTTCACTGTTTTCACTTTTAGGGACAAAACTCCTCAATAGCTCATCTAACGACGCGTTTCACCAACTTCAAGTCCATGACTGAATATGAACTGACTGTTTATGTGAGACCTCACATCGGGCTAGAGCTGATGGTTTTCTATGGTAATAGTTTCTTCAGCACAGGTAGATGAGGCACCATATTGTATTAGTAAGGGTCTATACAATGGTCTCGTACGGTTTACACGCTGTTAATAGGACAATATCTGTTAATTCCTGTTGTCTTCTTCCAGCTCCTCATCAGCGCACCCCTTCACACCGAGGCGAGGAGAGACATCCGTGCCTTCCAAAAGGGAAAAGGGTCAAGGATCACATTCCCTCAAAAAGACCTTTAAAATTGTGATCTGAGTAGCGTTAGGACCGTGTTTTACAGTTGTCGTTTGGTATTGAGAAGTGAGATCATGAAATCAGTAGAAGCGTGTGTGGTGTGAGAACAGATGTAGCCTATCCCTGTGTTTGTTCAAGTCTGCTGTGTTCGTTTGGTATCGTGAGCTTCCCTTTTCCAGCTTGGTGGATATCTAAAGAAAGAAGAAGCTGTACAGAGCCCTTAAGGGAATACGGTGATGTGGAAAAATGTATGATTGGAGGTAAAGTTGCAGTGTTTTCTAGCAAAAAGCTGCATTCCTCTGGGAAACTTTGCTCTCAGATTTTCAGGGTTGTCTCACAGAAGTATTATGCTCACCTAAGGAACTGCATTCACAGCATTTTCTCTCCACATTGTTTTCATCCCAAAAAATGTTGCGACTCAATGCGATTCTTGCAGGAATGCAAAAGTATTGCGAGCAAGTGCGTTCACTCTTGGACATAGGTCTCCAACTCAATTCCTGGAGGGCTGCTGCTCCAACCCTAATTAAACACAGCTGATCCAAATAATTGAGGTGTTCAAAGAGTCTTGAACAGCTTGATTAGTTTGATCAGCTGTGTTTGATTAGGGTCTGAGCAAAACTGTGCAGGGCTTGGGCCCTTCAGGAATTGAATTTGAGACGTATTCTCTAGGACATGGGTCTCAAACTCAATTCCTGGATGGCCGCAGCTCTGCACAGTTTTGCTCCAACCCTAATTAAACCCCTTGATTAGTGTCATCAGCTGTGTTTAAGACTCATTTGAACACCTCAATTATTTGGATCAGCTGTGTTTGATTAGGCTTGGAGCAAAACCGTGTAGAGCTGCGGCCCTCCAGGAATTAAGTTTGAGACCTGTGCTTTAGGACAGTGTTTCTCAACCATGTTGCTAGAGGACCACCAGCTCTGCATAATTTCCATGTCTCCTTAATCAAACACACCTGATTTACATCATCAGTTCATAAGCAGAGACTGAAAAAGTTGTAATGGGTGAGACAGACAAAGGAGACATCCAAAACATGCAGTGCTGGTGGTCTTCTAGGAACGTGGTTGAGATACACTGCTGTAGGATATGTAGGAGGTTTGTGAGAAAATGTGTTTCTCTTTTCTAGATACAAAAAGGGTTTTCTCTCTGGAGAATACAAAGGTTGTGTGTGCATTTAGACTATCTTGAAGCAATAGGTCCATCATTCTGTGAATGAATGCAGGGGTTCTCTAGGGAAACTGATTTTGTGGGGAAATGCTAACTTGAGGGAAAAGTAAAAGTTTGCTGAGAGATTTTGTGAATGTATGAAAAGTTTCTCTAGGAAATGCAAACATTTGCAGAATGCTGTTTTCTCTAGGATAAGCTGAATTTTTGGCAAAGAATGTGATGTTTTTGTGTGTGAAATCGAGTGAAATCCAGTTTATCAAGGAAACGCAAACTTTTTCACTTTTTTTTTTGTCATTTTTTAGCACAAATCTTGGAAGTTTCTCCGGGAAGGAAGCATTTTTTTGATGAATGCAGAGTTTGAACTTGCAGAAGTTTTCCTATCAAAGACATTTCTCCTTAAAAAAAAAGGAGAAATATTTGAGAATATTTGAGAGAAAAAGTGAGAGTATTTGTGAGTTTGTTGGCAGACTTTTATTTCAGTCTGCATAAAACGTTTTGCGAGTTATTGCAGACGTTTTGCACCCATTTTGTGAGTGAATGCAAAAAAAATGCTTTACAAACAAATGCCAAATTCCCTGCCCTAAAAGTCAAAGTTTAACAAGTGCAGTCGTCGTTAGTATGAGAGAACATTTTCTTGAGTGCTTAATTTATTTTCCTTCAATAGTTTTTTCCTCATTTGCATTCCCTTGAGGGTCTCTGTTTAACTTTTATTTATTTTGCATAAAAAAGTCATTATTTCTTATTACAGTGCAACTACTACCAGAATATAAATGTATCAGTGTACCTTACAATTATGAAGTGTTATTTCATTTATAGTCATAAATTATGGGTGAAATGTTCATTTTTGTAAGCATCTAAATGCAGGCTTAATTTTCATTATGCAAAATATAATAATTTTTTTCTGTGTGTTATAAATAAGACACTTTTGACTGTTTTCATGAGATTCACCCAGAATGAAGATACATGAAAATGATGAAGTATGTTGGGTTCAAGAGGCCACCTCCGTCAAAGCAATGTAGACCACACAGCCTTTAGACCATCACTGTCTGCCAGCAGCACAGCTCTCTCTCAGCAGGGCTCAGCCGGACACAGGGACATCATCTACAAACCATGGTTACCTCAACTTCTCCACAAACTACCAGTCAGAAACTACACACTAGGACATGACTGAGTTTAGAGTCCTCCTGTAGACTCAAGTTGAACAGTTGAGTAAACCATGAGTGAGTGTGTGTGTGAGTGCGTGTGTGTGTGTGTGTGCATGTGTTGTTTAATTCTAATATAATGTTTGGGTGGATGCCGTGTGATTGCGATATGATATATACTGTATATCCCTTATGTTGTGTCTTAATACCATCATATTGTTTCACTCGTTGCACTGCTTCAGCTGTTATGCTAAGTTGCTACACTGGGTATTTAATTTCCGTTTTGTTGGAGTTTGATCATCACTTCAAGTTTTGGTTTATTTCACCATTTAGACTCGGTTGTCTAGTCTTACCAGCTCAGCCAGCCTCTAAACTGCCTCTCACTTTTGTTAATGAAAACAAAACAAAACCGCTCAATAACATTTTGGAGAATATCTTTGTATGATATATATATATATATATATACACTAAAACTATGTGTGGGTTTGTTTTATTTTTCAGTTTTTAAATAAATATTTCACTCATTGATATAATAGCCGGTTGTTTTGTCAGTGTGGTGCTTGTGTGTTGTGTCATTATGCTTGAAATTACAGGCGTTGAGGATTTTGAGGCCTGAGGGGAAAAGTTGTCGATGCAAGCTTGTGCAGTTATCTAGAGTAAACAGCCGGTGAGTTATTCAATTATGTAAAATGATTCGTTCGAGCCCGAATCTGTTGACATGTTGCAGATACCCCACCAGGTGTCACTAAATACTACAGCAGAGTTCATTCACACAGGTCAGAGAAGCTAATCGCGCTGTTAAGACTGAAGAAAGAGACATTATAGGACTTGGATGGTTAACTTTACCAAATCACAAGTGTAAATAAAATGTAAAAATAGCTTGCGTTAAAACCACACAGTATATAAAGAAATTGGTTATACAGTGTGTTCGGAAAATAGCTTTTATAACTTTCATAGCATTCTTTTTCCACTTTTTTTAATGTTACAGCCTTATTCATGAAATTATTACATTTATTTATTTCCTCAAAATTCTACACACAATACCCCATAATGACAATGTGAAAAAAGTTTTTGAAATTGTTGCAAATTTATTCAAAATAAAAAAAAAAAACTGAAAAATCACATGTACAGAAGTATTCACAGCCTTTGCTCAATACTTTGTTGATGCACTTTGGCAGCGATTACAGTCTCAAGTCTATTTGAATATGATGCCACAAGCTTGGCACACCTGTCTTTGGAAATATTTGCCCATTCCTCTTTGCAGCACCTCTCAAGCTCTAACAGGTCGGATGGGAAGCAACAGTATACAACCATTTTCAGATCTCTCCAGAGATGTTCATTAGGATTTAGGTCTGGGTTCTGACTGGACCACTTAAGGACATTCACTGAGTTATTTTGAAGCCACTCCATTGATATTTTGACAGTGTGCTTTGGGTCATTGTCCTGCTGGAAGATGGCCCTAGAGGTCAAGAGCACCCTGAAGCAGGTTTTTATTCAGGATGTCTCTGTACATTGCTGCATTTATCTTTCCCTCTATCCTAGTCTTCCAGTTCCTGCTGCTGAAAAACATCCCCACAGCATGATGCTGCCACCACCATGCTTCACTTTAGGGAAAGCATTAGCCTGGTGATGAGCGATGCCTGGTTTTCTCCAAACGTAAAGCCTGGCATTCAGTCCAAAGAGTTCAATTTTAGTCTTATCAGACCAGAGAATTTTGTTTCTTTTGGTCTGAGAGTTCTTCAGATGCCCTTCGGCAAATTCCAGGCAGGGAGTGGCTTCCGTCTGGCCATTCTACCATACAGGCCTGATTGGTGGATTGACATTAAAGACTTTTTGAGTGCTAAAGTGACAGTGTGCCAATTTTCTTTTGAGTTTTTGCTACAAATGTTTGTTTTTTGATCGAGCACCTGCCTTCAAGATTTTGTAGATGTGCGCACATTTGTTTATTTTTATTTTTTTGCAATCAACTGAATTTACCACAGGTGAATTCCAATTAAGCAGCTGAAACATCTCAGTTTAGAGCTTCACGGCAAAGGCTGTGAATACTTCTGTACATGTGATTTTTTTTTTTTTTTTTTTAAATAAATAAATTTGCAACAATTTCAAAAACTCTTTTTTCACATTGTCATTATGCAGTATTGTGTGTAGAATTTTGAGGAAATAAATAAATTAAATTCATTTTGGAATAAGGCTGTAACATAAAAAATGTGGAAAAAGTGAAGCGCTATTAAAACTTTCCAGGTTGCACTAAAAGTAGCTGTTCATTCCATTTCTACTCACTATGTAAAAAAAATTACCGTCTATATGCAGGCCTGTAGCCAGGAGTGGTTCGGGTGGTTTAAAAGACACCCCCCACTGACAAAGTTCAAAATTTGGCTTTACATGTGCTTGTTTGTACTATTTTTGACTGCTATGCCAACACAAATTGAAAAAAATTACCGATAGAAGAAGGCTTTAAGACAAATTTAATTTGTAATTATTTAAGTGACCAAATTCTGACTGAGGAAAGTTGAATGAGAGGCCAGTTATTTATTTGCCTATTTAGGCTACACTTTTTTTTAGTTTAAAATAAGTTTTACCAGATTACTTTTTTTTTAAATGATGGATGATGATAAATTTGTGTTTTAAAATAGTTATATTTTCATATTTCTTTATTGTTTTTTATTTAAAATGCTAATCTCACAACATTATTAATAAACCTGTAATAATTTACAATTTAAATGCAAATTTGTAAATAAATACTTTGTTATAAAGTAGTATGGTGAGCACTTTGACAAAATTGTAGGAAATATTTTAGTACATCAAAAAGTGTGATTATGATCACCATCTGACTAAAGATTAGTGCTTGAATGTTTCTAAAATACAGTATTTAAGTGAAGTTTCATAAACTAATTTCGAAAAGAGCACGTGATATGATTGTGCACCGCTGGCCACTCATCCGTAATCGGAATGATCCTAGCTTAATATAAATGGATCACTTTCTCCTTATTGCTCTATCTTCTTTTTGGAAGAATTCCCCCTTCCACCCCATCTCCTCCTTTTTCTCCCCCTCTTAAGGGGGAGCGATCAAGACCTACCTGATCTCGGTTCTCCTGATATGTTTCTAGACCGGGCGGGAGCCCTGGGCTCAAATATTTCCGAGCTCAGGGTTCTCTCCCCGGACAGCATGCCAAACCTGCTATAAATGCCAAGCATATCTAAGTGGGAACTCTTGAAACCTCACATGAGGCGAATAACTGCAAAAAAGGTGCTGTTTTTCAGAATAAAGAACCACCCCTTTCAATAGGCTGGCCACGGGCCTGATATGTAGGTATCAGAGGAGAGAAAAACAGTCAAGTTGTTTCTCAGGTATGTCTATATATACATTCGTTATAGGCCTACATATGCTGATGTGACTTATTGGGAAGAAAGGAAATGGTGCCGTCTATTGGACAGTGTCATTAATGCATTTTGTGCCGTGATGCATTTATAAAAGTGAAATTTCCTGCACTCAAAAATACTTTTGCTGCTTGTTAAAATTACTTATTTAAAATGAGCAACACGATTCTTAATGTTTGTTTTTTTCCGGTGGGGGGTGGGGGGTACAACAACATGAAGGAATTGTGTGGAACCCATCATTTTTTACAGTGTAACTTGGAAAGTGTTCAATATATTGTGAAAGACTGATAACTGAAAAAAATGAGTAATGTTTAAGTGATGAGTATGTCTTGTCAACCAATCCATTTGTCTTTTTTATCTATTTGTAGATCATTCTTTCTGTCTGTCTTTTTCATGTCTGCCTGACTGACTCTGTCTTTGTGTCTGTCTGTTTGTATCTTTGTCTTTATATTTGTCCTTGTTTGACTCTGTCTTTGTATTTTTCTGTCTGTCTGTCTGTCTGTCTGTCTGTCTGTCTGTCTGTCTCTATCTATTTGTCTATCTGTCTTAGTTTGGCACTGTATATCTCTCTTTGTCTTTGTTTGGTTGTCTTTCTATTTGTCTGTCTGGCTTTATGTTTGTCCGTTTACATATCTCTGTCCTTGTTAATCTGTCTCTCTCTGTGTCTGTCTCTGTCATACACATATATCTGTCTGTCCTTAACCATCCATCCACCCATCCATCAATCCATCTGTCTGTCTTTATCCATCCATCCATCCATCCGTCTTTGTCCATTCATTTATCCATTCAGTTAATCTGTCTGTCTTTGTCCGTCCATTTATCCATCCAATGAATTTGTCTCTTTATCCATCCATCCATCCATCCATCCATCCATCCAGTCTTTGTCTATTCATTCATCCATCCAGTGAATCTGTCTGTCTTTGTCTATCCATCCATCCATCCATCCAATGAATCTGTGTCATTGTCCATCCATTCATCCATCCATCCATCCATCCGTCCATCTTTGTCCATTCATCTATCCAGTGAATCTGTCTGTCTTTGTCCATCCATCCATCCATCCATCCATCCATCCATCCATCCATCCATCCATCCATCCATCTATCCATCCATCCATCCATCCAATGAATCTGTGTCTTTGTCCATCCATTCATCCATCCATCCATCCATCCGTCCATCTTTGTCCATTCATCTATCCAGTGAATCTGTCTGGCCTTTTCCATCCATCCATCCATCCATCCATCCATCTATCTTTGTCCATCCATTTATTCATCTAGTGAATCAGTTTGTCTTTGTACATCTATCCATCCATCCAGTGAATCTGTCTGTCTTTGTCCATCCATCCATCCATCCATCCATCCATCCATCCATCTATCTTTGTCCATCCATTTATTCATCTAGTGAATCAGTTTGTCTTTGTACATCTATCCATCCATCCAGTGAATCTGTGTGTCTTTGTCCATCCATCCATCCATCTTTGTCCATCCATTTTTTCATCTAGTGAATCGGTTTGTCTTTGTACATTTATCCATCCAATGAATGTCTCTTTGTCCATCCATCCATCCATCCATCCATCTATCTTTGTCCATTCATTCATCCATCCAGTGAATCTGTCTGTCTTTGTCTATCCATCCATCCATCCATCCATCCATCCATCCAGTGAATCTGTGTCTTTGTCCATCCATTCATCTATCCATCCATCCGTCCATCTTTGTCCATTCATCTATCCAGTGAATCTGTCTGTCTTTGTCCATCCATCCATCCATCCATCCATCTAGTGAATCGGATTGTCTTTGTACGTCTTTCCATCCAATAAATTTGTCTCTTTCTACATCCATCCATCCATCCATCCATCCATCTTTCTTATCCATCCATCCATCCATCTTTCTTATCCATCCATCAGTTCATCCAGTAAATCTGTCTGCCTTTGTCCATCCGTCCATCCATCAGTTCATCCAGTAAATTTGTCTGTCTTTGTCCATCCATCCATCCATCCATCTTTCTTTATCCGTCCATCCATCAATCCCTCCAGCTAATATATCTGTCTTTATCCATGCGTCTGTCCATCCATTCATCCATCCATCCACCCACCCATCCATCCATCCATCCATCCATCCATCCATCCATCCATCCATCTATCCATCTTTGTCCATCCATTGT